GACTTGACTGATGGATCTGAAACAGTACCACTGTAAACTGAAAAAGTATGAAACACCATCCGTAGCCCCAAGAAGGAGTCAAAGGTCCTGTGCCTTCAGTCTGTCAAGAGTGGGCAGGGACAATGCCACATACACTGTAGCCTCCCTCTTCGCAGGACGGAGATTTTGGCTGGAATCACAAATCTGGCATGAAGTGGTGGCCTCTGCATCAGAGGCACAGAGTCCTATACTTTGTGTCCACTCTGTGATGGGGGACGTGCTGCTGTATCTGGTATGACGATGGGCCCGGGCAGAAGTGGAGACAATTTGGGAATTGTGGGCTCAATCCACAGCTTGGTTCCCGTCAGTCTCATCAGAGAATGGGTCCTCAGCAGGGGTATCTGCATAAGTGATCTAGATGGTTTGATCAGCCATGATTTGTTTCCACAGTTGCCTGAGAACACTGCCGTCCAAAGCCCTCTACAAGCAGCAGGATTGTGACGTTATCTGTTTCACGTCTGGGGACTCCTTGACTCAGCAACCACAGCCACACTGCATTCCAGCTGGAGCTGCAAGGTTCACACCATTTGGCTGACCTGGTCTTGAGTTGGTCACTCTCACTATAGTTTTGGCATTTTTGTTGATCTTCTAAAGCAGTGGTCCCCAAACTTTCTGGCACCAGAAATCAGTTTTGTGGAAGACAATTTTTCCATAGCTGGGGGCAGGTGAGGTGGTTTGGGGATTATTTAAGAGCATTACATTTATTGTGCTAATGATAATCTGTATTTGTAGTTGATCCCCAGTGCTAGCATCACAACTTCAGCTCCACTTCAGATCGTCAGGCACTAGATTCTCATAAGTATGAGTGAGCAGCCTAGATCCTTCCTATGTGCAGTCCATAGGAGGGTTCGTGCTCCTATGAGAATGTCATACTGCCGGTAATCTGACAGGAGTCGGAGCTCAGGCTGTAATGGGAGTGATGGGGAGCCACTGTAAGTACAGATGAAGCTTCACTGGCTCACCCACTGCTTACCTTTGGCCATGCAGCCAGGTTTCTAACAGGCCAGGGACTGGTACCAATCTGTGGACAGGGAGTCAGGAACTCCTGTTCTAAAGAACTAAATTGTAGGTGAGTTGATTTTCTCTAATCTTTATTCTAGCTTTCCTTCTGTTTTCTTTGGATTTAGTTTGCTCTACTTTTTTCTAGTTTCTTAAGGTAGTAGGTTACATTACTGATTTGACACTTTTTTTTTTCTTTTAAATATAAGAATATACAGGGATTTCCCTGGCGGTCCAGTGGTTAGGACTTGGTGCTCTCATTGCTGAAGCCTCGGGTTTGAGGTTCAATCCTGGGTCGGAGAACTAAAATCATATGAGCCCCATAGTGCAGCCAAAAGAAAAAAAGAAGAAAAAAAGTAACACACAACTGTAAATTTTCCTTTAAGCACTGCTGTAGCTCCATCTCACAAGTTTTGGTATGCTGTGTTTTCATTAATCTCAAAGTAGTTTCTAACTTTCCGTGTGATTTCTTCTATGACCCATTAGTTATTCAAGAGGGTGTTAATGTCCACATATTTGTGAATTTCCCAAATTACCTTCTGTTATGGATTGCTAATTTCATTCCAGTGTGGTCTGAGAACAGAGTTAGTATGATTTTAACCTTTTTAGTGTATTCAGGGACTTCCCTGGTGGTCCAGTGGGTGAGAGTCTGCCTTGCAGTGCAGAGGATTCAAGTTTGATCCCTGGTCGGGGGACTAAGGTCCCACATGATGAGAGCAACTAAGCCACACCACAACTGGAGAGTCTGAGGGCCACAACTAAGACCTAATACAACTGAATAAGCAAATACATTTTTAAAATAAGTGTATTGAGACTTGTTTTATGGTCTAACCTACAGTCTATCCTGGGGAATGTTCCAAGTATACTTAAGAATATGACTTCTGCTGTTGTTGGCAAGAGTGTTCTATAGATGTCTGTCAGGACTTGGGCTTGACAGCTGTGATTTTTCTTTTAGAGGAGACTGCCTTAATAGGGGGTATTTCTGTCCCACTGTCATAATAACATGTTATTTCTGCCTTGTTATAATAGAAGGACTAGGAGAGTTTTCTAGCTGGAGCTGATCACAAGAATTTATCTAGATTTCTTTGTGTCACTTGTAGCAGTACTATAAACTTAATACGAGCCCAAGCAGTAATTACTGCCTCACCTGTAGTTTCCTATGGGAGTTTGTCTGTCTCGAGGAAATTCCCCTAAGAGGGACAAAACTCCCTTATAGCAGCCAGGACCCACTGTGGGGTGCGGGGTGGGGATGGAGGAACTGAGACCTTTTATTGTCATCTCAGAATGGATTTAAGATTGGCATGATAGACTGTAGAAAGAGCTAAGCTGTAAGATGGCCCAGCTGTTGCCATTCTATCTTACCAAGTATCACTTGCCCTACCCCTCATCTCCCAAGTGAGCCAGAAAAGTTCTAGTAATTCATCTATTTTTTTTTGTCCATAACAGAACTGGATTTCTGTGAGATGTTACCTTTCCACTCCCCAATCCCACCCAGGAGAGAGGAGTCGTTATGAGGAATAAATGAAAGGGAGTAAATGGGAGGATGAATGTAAGGGTCTTAGTTGAGGCCAGGTAGGAAAAGCTCTTAAGTGGCTGTTGGTCATTATGATGACACAGAAGGATGCATTGAGGAATCTGGGGGTGAGAAGGAGCTGGGAGCTGAAGATAGTAAGGAACTGGAGGGACTGTGCATATAGGCTAGAGTCCAAGAGCCCCTCTAGTCAGTTTGGCAGAACCAACAGTCAGGTACACTGCTGCCCAAGAGCCTGCTGGTAGTTGGACAGAGCGACTCGGGGCCCAGGGCTCTCCAAGGAAGCAGGAGGCAGCAAGTGTCCAAAAATGGAAGGTCCAGGGAGTCTATGTAGGAGGAAGATGGGGCCACAAGGAGGGCACTCTAGCTGCAGGTAAAGCTGTGAAAGCATGTTCTACCAGTCAGAGACAGACTGCTGAAGCGACTGTGGGAGTCTAAGTCCTAGTGCCTCCACTTCCCCGGAATACAGCCTTTGAGGCACTGCAGGCTGCACATCGGGGGGACTGCTGCCTGCTCCACCTGGCTTCTCCAAACCTACTAAGGGAGAGAATGTGTATGGGGTAAAAAAGAGAGGGAGAAAACAAACAAAAAACCCCACTGGGGCCAATGTTTAGGAAGCCCGAGTGATTTTAACAGCAACCCACTCAAGAAGAGCATAATAGTTATGTGCGTGCTCTGTCATGTCCTACTGTTTGTGACCCCACAGGCTGTAGTTTACCAGGCTCTTCTGTCTGTGAGATTTTTCAGGCAAGAATCCTGGAGTGGATTGTCTTTACTCCTTTAAGGGATTTACCCCACTTAGGGATCAATGCCCGGAGAAGGCAATGGCACCCCACTCCAGTACTCTTGCCTGGAAACTCCCATGGACCGAGGAGGAGCCTGGTAAGCTATACAGTCCATGGGGTCGCTAAGAGTCAGACACGACTGAGCGACTTCACTTTCACTTTTCACTTTCATGCATTGGAGAAGGAGATGGCAACCCACTCCAGTGTTCTTGCCTGGAGAATCCCAGGGATGGGGGAGCCTGGTGGGCTGCCGTCTATGGGGTCACAGAGTCGGACACGACTGAAGTGACTTAGCAGCAGCAGCAGCAGGCATCGAATCCACTCTCCCCTGTGTTGCCTGAAGATTCTTTACCACTTCACCACCTGGGAACCCCTATGAGGGTCACAGGCATGCATAACAAACCCCTCATCCCCACTCTCCAGCATGCGGCTGGGACCAAAACAGCACATGCCCAGCAGAGCGATTGCCACCACCACACCACCCGACCCTCGCCTCCATCAGCTGGCTTTTTGAGCGTGCCAACTTCGACAAAATAAAAAAACCTGCTTAGGCGCTGACTGTGCACCAGTCCCAGGCCTTTGGATGAAGATGGAGTGGGTAGTGGGGTGGGCACACTGAAACACCAAACATGAAGAAGGGGAGGGGTCTTGAAATAAGCTGAAAGGTATAGACTTTGCAGACAAAGGTCCGTATAGTCAAAGCTATGGTTTTCCCATAGTCACGTAGGGATATGAGAGTTGGACCATAAAAAGGCTAAGCGCGGAAGAATTGATGCTTTTGAACTGTGATCCTTTGGACAGCAAGGAGATCAAACCAGTTAATCCTAAAGGAAATCAACCCTGAATATTCATTGGAAGAACTGATGCTGAAGCTCCAATACTTTGTCCACCTGCTGCGAAAAGTCGACTCATTGGAAAAGACCCTGACGCCGGGAAAAGATTGAAGGCAAAAGGAGAAGCGGCAACAGAGCATGAGATGGTTGGACGGCATCACTGACTCAATGGACATGAGCTTCAACAAACTCTGGGAGATAGTGAAGGACAGGGAAGCCTAGCGTGCTGCAGTCCCTGGGGTCCTAAAGAGTCGGACACTACTTGGCGACTGAACAACTGACGGGGAGAACTTTCGTTTCCTGACCTGCTCTGCCAGTTGAATGGCGAACGACTGAGGCCCGAGGAGGCTCCACGCACGCGGAAGGGGCCGTTTGTTATTATCAAGAGTGGTGCTGTGATGATGCCAACTGCCCCGCCTGTCGCGGATCCTGCCAGTGCGGAAAGGGAAAACCAGGGAGGTGGAGGCCAGCGGAGATTTCTCAAGCCAAGCGATCCCCTCCAACTGCGGCTGGAAGAGCGACCCTGCGCTGTCACTTCCGGGTCCTGAGACCTGAACGGCATTATCACGGAGTCGCCCCTCCTGATGCCCAGCCAGTCGAAAAGTTTTAGTCCACAGACTCCCACCGAGGCGTGCCAGTGGGATAGGGTCCAGACTGCGGCAGACACGCCCCACTCTGGGCATCGCGACGTCGGAGGAGTAGAGAGAGCGTCATTTCCGCCCTCACTCTCGGCCCGACAGGGACGGGCGGGGCAAGAGGAAGGCGCGCTGCTTGTGCGTCACTTCCGGTGAGTCTAGCGGCGACAACGGCAACATGGCCCTAAACGGCGCTGGTGAGGACACGGATTGCGGGGGCCTGTGGCTTCGCGGTTCGGGCAGCACCTTGCTTCAGCAAGACCTTCCGGCCCCTTGTGCCTCTCTTCCCCCAGAAGTCGACGACTTCTCTTGGGAGCCCCCGACCGAAGCGGAGACGAAGGTGCTGCAAGCGCGGCGGGAGCGACAGGATCGCATCTCCCGGCTCATGGGCGACTACCTGCTGCGTGGTTACCGCATGCTGGGCGAGACCTGCGCTGACTGCGGGGTGAGGAGATACTCGGGACGTGGGATCCAGGCTGGGGCCGCGGACCAGGCCACACAGCCCTTTCCCCATCTCTTCCCTCTGAACCCCATCGCCCGTCTCACCCCTGCTCCCTGTGCTTTCTGGCCCCTAGACGATCCTCCTCCAAGACAAACAGCGGAAAATCTACTGCGTGGCTTGTCAGGAGCTCGACTCAGACGTGGATAAAGATAACCCGGGTGAGGGGTCGAGGGTGCTTGATGAAGAACTGTGGTGATAGAGGCTCAGGAACAGTACTTGGGAGGTGACAGTGGTATTTGTGGGTGGGGCAAGGGTGAGTTGCGTTTTCCTTTCTCCTAGAGAGGACCATTCATTCAGTAAGAGCACTAAGCACCTACTGTGTGCCAGACACCAGAGCCTGAGCTTATTAGGCATAGTTCTGATGAGAGAAGGCCTTATGTTCTTTAAGCAAGGGCGTAAATACCTCTGATACGAAAAAGAAAATGGATGTGTTCCCTTATACTGGGGCAGGGAATACGTCTCAAGTACAGAGAGCAGAACAGTAAAGGGTAGGGAAGTGTCTCAGGGCTGAGGTGGGGCCAGGTATATCCTGATCATTCCACTGACTTTCTCCTTTTTTAGCTCTGAATGCCCAGGCTGCCCTCTCCCAAGCTCGGGAGCACCAGCTCGCCTCTGCCTCGGAGCCCCCCTTGAGCTCCCGGCCTGCCCCTCAGCCCCCAGTACCCCGCCCGGAACACTGTGAGGGAGCTGCAGCAGGGCTTAAGGCAGTCCAGGGGCCACCCCCTCCTGCTGTGCTTCCAAATGCGGATGTGGTGGCCTGCACACAGGAGGCTCTCCTGCAGAAGCTGACCTGGGCCTCAGCTGAGCTGGGCTCTAGCACCTCCCTGGAGACTAGCATCCAGCTGTGTAGCCTTATCCGGGCGTGTGCTGAAGCCCTGCGCAGTCTGCAGCAGCTGCAACACTAAAAACCCTTCCTGAGAAAAACCCTGTAGAAAAACAGCTGTTCCTCTTGTGTGGTTTGTTCTTTTTTTGTTTCTGAGTGTGCATGCAAGTCCCAGCTCCACTTGTCTTTTTCCTACTTTTGGTCTTTCATGCTATCACAGTCTGGTCTCCTTGATGCCCTGAGAAATGAGTGGGGCTTGTTTCTGCTCAGTGTCCCCACTCAAAGGATGAGGTGGCAGAGGACTATGTGCTATTGTTTTTCTGGTGAGGAGGCCCCAACCTCCTCAAAAGCAGAAACAGGAGGTGTGGATCTCTGAAGGAATCCTGGAACCTCCCCAGCCATCCAGCGCTATTCCCCACCCTTGAGAGAGATTTGGGGTTCCAGTCCCCTCGGTAGCTTCCCTTTCTTCCCCCAAGCATCCAGACACCATCATCCTGTCCCACCTCAGGCCCAGACCAGGTACTCAGATACTGACAGGATGTAGTCAGGTAGGGATCAAGGATGGTCTTAACCTGTCTCCTGACCACACCCCATCCCTTTTATATCCTTTTCCTTGAGAGATGTAATTGGCCAGAATAAACAAACAGTGTTGGAGGGGGAGGAACCGCACCCTCCGCTTTTAACCTCTTCCCTTCTCCTTTTTACCTGCTTCCCTTCTATCGGTGGCCAATGCCCTTTTCTCTGGTCTCCTGGGGCAACGTGGTCGCACAGAGCCGTTGCCCTTTTAAGACAGGCCCCGCCCACGTGGGGGTGGGGCAGGGGCGGAGTCGGAGGAGTCCGGGTGGGAACAAAGCGCGGCCTGCGGGCGGCGGCTGGACTCTGCTGGCGGGGCCACGGGGTGCGGGGCCTGCGGGCGGCGGCCCGGGCGGAGCGTTGGAGAAAAGGAGGCGGCATCATCCTCTGGTACCCGCCCGGCCATGAATGGGCTGCCCTCTGCCGAGGCGCCGGGCGGCGCGGGCTGCGCCCTGGCTGGTCTCCCGCCGTTACCGCGCGGCCTCAGCGGTCTTCTCAACGCGAGCGGGGGCTCGTGGAGGGAGCTGGAGCGCGTCTACAGTCAGCGCAGCCGCATCCACGATGAGCTGAGCCGAGCCGCCCGCGTCCCGGACGGGCCCCGCCAAGCCACCGGCGCTGCCAACGCGGGAACTGCCGCGGGTCATCCTGGCCCGCGTCGCCCCATCAACCTCGACTCGGCGCTAGCGGCGCTGCGCAAGGAGATGGTGAGTAGCTGGGCCTCGGTCAGCTGGGCATTGGGGGGCGACGGGGCAGCTACCAAGCTAGAGAGTCCAGGCGCGGGCGGGGCGGGGTCCACAGGCAACGCGCGGTCTGGGTCTAGAGGAATAACAGAAAGAAGCCAGCTGGGTCAGAGGGGATACGGTAATAATTATGTTTATTGGCAATAGTTACCATGCTTTACTAGTTAAATGCTTTACTAGTGTTATTTCTTTCCATTCTGCTGTCTTGCAGATAGGGGTTACTGACTTGCCTAAAGATTCAAAGCTGTCCACAGAAACCTGTGCTTGGGAAGATTGGTTTGGGTGGAGGGATGACTGGCACTCCAACCCCAGCCCACTTTCAGTCTTTTGCAGGTGGGCCTGCGGCAGCTGGACATGTCCCTGCTGTGCCAGCTGTGGGGCCTGTATGAGTCGATCCAGGACTATAAGCACCTGTGCCAAGACTTGAGCCTGTGCCAGGACCTGTCATCCTCTCTGCACTCAGACAGCTCCTATCCACCCGACGCTGGCCTGTCTGATGATGAGGAGCCTCCAGACGCTAGCCTGCCCCCAGACCCGCCACCCCTCACTGTGCCCCAGACACACAATGTCCGGGACCAGTGGCTGCAGGATGCCTTCCATATCAGCCTCTGAGAGCTGGGAGGGTGGGGGCATGCACCCACGAAAAAGGCTCAGAAACACCCCTCAGCAAGTACTCAGACTATAGTGCCTGCTTTCCCCCATACCACCTCACCTCACAGGAGGGCAAGGTCTGGGCCCCACGAAGGCAAAGCTGCCTACCCTCTCATGTCTTGGGTTAGTTGGCACTGGGGCGGGTACCTGGGCTATAGCCTCTGCCCATGGCACTGGACCTCCACTTGTCCCACCTGTGGGACCTCCAGCGTGGCTGACCTTCAGTCTGGCAGTGGGGTCCAAAGCACTTTCCTTGGCACCTCTGGGACTGGGATTGAGTGGCCTGGCTCCTGTCTCTTCACCTTCGCTGCTGTTGGCAGCTGCTGGCTCAGGGGCATCCCACCTCTGGCCCCTGGGTTCCACTGCCCTAGACAGGGGCTCTCCAGGACCCATTCCTGCACCATCCAAGGTCAAGAGGACCAAGGCTCCGTGCTGGATATTTAAGTTTAGGGGTCAGCCTCTTTGGCTCATAGATCAATAAATACTGTCTCAGCATTGGTGTGTTCTGACTGCTTACCTCTGGGGCGGGAAGATAGCGGTGATTCTGACAGGTGCTGCCCCGCGCTCTGCCAGCAGGTGGCGCCCGAGACCCCGAGTTGGAAGAGGCTTAGCGGCGGCCGGGTGCGAAACCTCGCTCCCGGGGCAGAGTTGCCTGCCGATCGTTCCAAGCTGGCCCGGCGTGGTCTCGCGGTTGTGTGACTGCGGGCGAGTCACTTCCCCTCTCTAGCTGGAGGCCTGGAGCCCAACCAGCCTACCCACTCGCTTCGGGCTTTCCTGGCCGGCCGGGAAGGAAGGAGAAGCAGCCGCCCATCTCGAGGAGAGAAACTTTCCACCCCAAGTGGGGGCGGAGTTGAGGCGGCACAGGAAATGGGTGGGCCCGGGCAGGCGGGCCGGGCCGAGGGGCCCTGGGCGTAAGAGGGGAAAGCGCGTCCTGGAAGGGCTGGGAACGAGTGACCAATGGGCGGGAGGAAAGAGTTGCAGAGGCAGAAAGGGATGGAGCCCCAGTGCCCGAGTCCCCCCTAAAGTCCAGGCAATCCCTGGAGGGGTGATGGGGCTCTAGGTTTCAATGCCTGAGACATACTCCCAGCGGCCAAACACCCCCATTCTCTGCCTGGCTCCCCCTCTAGACCTTTAGAGTTGTACGTAAAAGGCTTTCTTTTACAGTGGAGAGCCACGAGGCTGGGTCTAGCAGCTAAACCGGGGTGTCAGGTTCTTCCCCTCATTCCCCAGATAAGTCTGCATATTTGCGAGTGGTGGGTGCTAAGGCTTTCGCGCACACAATACCCCACAACTTCCTGAAACGAAGAGGAGAGGACCCCGAAGTTGCGCAGTTAGGCTTACCGGCTGGCTGCCTGTCCCCACGTCCACTGCAGTCACTTGCGCCCTGTACAGAACTCAGCTGACACTCTTGGCAGTCAGACGTCCTGTTCAAACCGAGCATTTATCAAGGACCAGGCTTCTGTCCATTCACAAACCTAGCAGAGCGTTTGCACTGACAGAGGGGACAGGCCAGGGTGCTGCTCTACGGCTGTTCTAACTCTGGGCCTGACACCTGCAGCGGTTCATGACCCAGCAGGCGGGCTGGCGATAAGGGCTCTAATCTAGGTGTGAACACAGCGGTTAACGCCCCGCGGCAGGCTTTCCAGGGGAGGGAGAGTAAACACACAGTTTTACTCTCCACCATAACGGATATCATCTAGTAAGACCTGGCAAAAATCAGCCAGGTTCCACACTAAATGCTTTCCAAGGTTTCATTCTCAATGGTGGTGTAAACGGTGCGACTATAATTATCCCTATTTTGCAGAGGTAAAAACTGAGGCTCAGGGCGTTGGTACTTTGCCCAAGGTCACACACTTGTTGGAGGTCAGCTGCTTGTGGGGTGTTGGGACTGCCTTCCCACTTGACAGCTGGAGAGCCAGGTCTGGAGGCTGGCAAGTGGGTGCTGCTCATCGTAGGGCGACCGGGGTTGGCCCCTGACCTTGCTCCATCCCCCTCTGGTTAACACGTGGGTGGCAGCAGGAGTCTGTCTCCCCAGTTGAAGCCAGCTGGCTCTGGCTCAGCGCACTGAGACCCTTCACGTCTCTTCTCCTTTCTGGTCTCTGTTTCCCCAGCCTGTAAAATGGGGCCACAGGTACGTACCTCGTAGGGCTGCGGGCAGGAAGGGAGGCGGCCGGGCAGCGCTCTCGCGGGCGGCACCAATTGCTGGTGGCCCCCTGCCCCAGCCCGCGCGCCCCTTACCCCGCCCGGGCCTCCACACAGCCTCGGCTCGCAACAGGCGGACGCTGCGGTCTAGGCGTCCCCCTCGACCCCGCTCTCCCTCCCGCGCGAGGCCCCGGAAGCCGGGCCGCCCCGCCCCCGCGCTCCCGCTCCGGCCCCCGCCTCCCGCCGGAGCCCCGCCCGCCTTCCGACGGGGGTGCGGCTCCAGGAAACCGCGCGCTCGCCGCTCAGCGCTCCAGCTACCCGACGCGCCCCAGACGACCCCGCCGAGGCGGCCAGATCACCGGCGGGCCCCCGCGGCGGCGGCGGCGGAAAGAGTGGCCCCCGGTCCCGCGCCTCGGACCCCTCCGCACGGACGGGGCGGGCGGCGCGGATAGGATCCCGGAGGCCATGGGGACCTGGGCCGGGCCAGCGGTTGCGGACTAGCGGGAGTCCCGGGTCTGAGGAGCGGGCGGCGGAGGCGGCGGGGCCATGACCTCGGTGTGGAAGCGCTTGCAGCGCGTGGGCAAGCGGGCCGCCAAATTCCAGTTTGTGGCCTGTTACCACGAACTGGTGGTGGAGTGCACCAAGAAATGGTGAGTGGGAGGGAAGCCTTGGGGACTCCCCAAACTGGCTGGGACCCCATCCGGGGGCCTGAGAACCCTGACCTCCGTCCAGTGGCCAAAGAGACCGCCTACTCCCCGGGGGACCCAGACACAGAGAAGGGCCCTGGCAACTCTGAGGGATCCCCAGAGTTGGGGGGCTGTGGGCAGCCTTTGGGGAGTGGAGGTCAGGACATCCAGGCATGAGGATCTGTGTGGGCCCACACTTTCCTCAGCTGCTCTCAGAGCTGGGAAAAGGGAGGCCTCATATTTCTGGCCAGAGGGGTGGTTCAAGGTGGAGCATCAGAAAAGGGGGCAAGTTTTCAGGTCCGTGGGTGGAGGGCCTGGGACAACCAACTCAATGACCTCAGTCCAGCTCAGAACAAAGATGGTGCCCCCTCCTCCCCTGCCTGTTTGTTGAACCAGAGGAACCACCCGCCCCTTCAGCTGGAGTGGGCCCTGGGCGGCTGGACTCGTCTCCATAATATCCTTAAAAGGGGAAACTGAGCGCTGGGTGTGATGAGGAGGGAGGCAGGCAGCAGCTTAAAGGGGCCCGAGGGTTTAGGAGTTTGTGGGTCCCAGAGGAGAGAGCCTGGAGAAGGCAAGGAGGTGGGGTGAGGGGAGATGTGTCAGGGGATGCAGGACCCTGACCTGACTACCAAAGGGCCTGGGGGCATCTGGTTCACACGCCGCCACCCGCAGCTGCCCGGGCCCCTGCGTCACACCCTAAATATACGTGCTCCTTGGTGTCAGCTTCCCTTGGCTGGATTAGAGCACAGCTGTGGGGGCCTCACCCGCCAGGCGGGGCTAAATTTAGGCTCCCAAGAGGAGGGACAGGAAGGGACCAGAGGGTCCAAAGGGAGGGGAGTAAGAACATGGCCTGGGATCCCTTGGGCAGTTGTCATTCTCTGATCTTGACCGGGCCAGCCAGAGGGTGGTTGGTTAACACCATTCAGAAAGGCCCAGAAAGGCCCAGGAGCTGGCTGGGGTAACACAGCACCGGGCTGGGACTTGAACTCTGACCTGTGGCTTCTGCCTTCTGCCCCAGCATCCTGGGTGAAGCCTGGGGGATACTGGGCATGGTCACAGAGAGCTGGGTGAGGGTGTGGGCAGTGTCAACGTGTCTGAGTCACAGCGGGTGGGCAGGGCCTCCTGGACTTTCTTGCCTGGAGCCCCGGCTAGGAAGCTGCCCCTGCCCAGGTCACAGCTCCACAGGAGGGTGTGCCCCGCCTGAGTCAGGCTGCCCGGCCAGGCCCCGCCCTCCCCAGGCTCCCACAGTCGGCTTCCCCTTTCTGGGAAGGCCCCATGGCTGCCCTTAGCCATCGCCTGCACTGTAGGGTCCAGGAGGGGCACTGGGCTCAGGTGTGTGCCCTTGCCTAGCCCCTAACCTCTCTGGTCTCAGCATCCCCCGGAAGATGACAGGAGAACCGGTTATCCTGGCTCGGCCTCCAGAGGGGCTGTGAGCTGGGTGAACCTGAGCGTTCTGGCACAGGACTGGGTGCAGGCGTGGAGGGCTCTTGTGTTGCCCCCTCTGCCTGATGACCCCTGAGCCCTCCCCACCCTCTTGGGCAGCACTCGGCCCCTCCCTCCCACACCAAGCCCTGTGCCTGGCGACTCTCTCCTCTGGCTTTGTCTCTATCTCCCCACATCTCTTTGCCTCTGCCCCAGCTTATGCTGTTCAGCTTAGATGTCACCTTCTAGACGTCCTTCCTGATGTCCCTTGTGGGAATGGGAGTCCCTGCAAAGTGAAGGGCTGGGCGTGGAAGGTCCTGGGAGGGTATCGAATGACAAGCTGACCCTATGCCTCTCTGTTTCCCAGCCTCTGCCCCCTACCCGACCCTACACCTATCCCCATCCTCGGACCCTGGCACTTGCCATCCCCTCTGCCTGGAGCCTACCTTCTCCAGACCCTCACACGGCCCATTTCCTGCTCCAGCAGGGTCTTGCCTCTCCTTGGTGTGGGCTGGGGTTATAGTGTGCACTCTACAAATATTTGTGAGTGAATGGACTCCTTTTACTCCAAGTTTGTCTCTTTCTCTGTCTCAGAGTCTGTGTGTCTTGCAGGTCCTTGTTGGGTTGCTGTCTTTGTCCCTGTGTGTGCCTGTCTCTCTGTATGACTTTCTTCCTAATCCTTGTCAACCCATAGGCCTTTGCCCTCTGGCCCAGGCCTCACCCTGCCTCAGCTGCCCCACCCTGCTCCTTGTGGCCCCAGATAAGGGGTCTCTCCGGCCTCTGTCCTGGGGGAGGGGGATGTGGGCAGAAGGAAGACTGTGGATGAGATGGAGAGGCTGGGTGGGCCTGACTGAGTGGCCCCCTCTCCCTCACCCCTCGCCTCCCAGGCAACCGGATAAGCTGGTGGTAGTGTGGACCCGGAGGAACCGACGGATCTGCTCCAAGGTAGGGAGGATGTCAACTGGGGGTCCTGATTGGGGGTGGGGTAATTTGGGGGGTGGGGCCATTTGGGGGTGTGGGGCGCATGGCGGAGGGCTGTTGGGGGACTGGAATCGGGTTCAGATCAGAATCCATCGAAGAGAGAAAAAGATGGGGTCAAGGTTGGAGATGAGGAAAAGGTGTGAGGGGGAGCGTTAGGATGGAGGGAGGACTCAGACGGCTCCTTGTAGGCCCACAGCTGGCAGCCAGGCATCCAGAACCCATACCGGGGCACCGTGGTATGGATGGTACCTGAGAATGTGGACATCTCTGTGACCCTCTACCGGGTGAGTCTCCAGCCCTCCTGTGCAGAGGGGCAATGAGCGGGCGATTGCAACCCCAGGGGCCATGGGAATAGAAATAGAAAAGAACAGGAGCCATCCAAATAGAAAAGAACAGAGGGGTGAGACCAAGAATCATGGCAGGGGGCCTACTCAGCCTGGGTGGCCCAGGAAGTCTCCTTGGAGGAGGTGGCATTTACCCACCACATGAGGGAAAGCTGGGATCAGGAGGAGCTGGGGAGCATACCTGCCAGGAGGGACCAGCCTGTCCGAAAGCCCCAAACAAACACCTCCTGAACTAGCGCAGGCAGTCTTCCCTGCCCCCAGCCCGGCAGCCCCTGTACTCACCGGTGCCCCTCTTCCCCAGGACCCCCACGTGGATCAGTATGAGGCCAAAGAGTGGACGTTCATCATTGAAAATGTGAGTGGCCAGGGTGGGCGGGAGCTTGGGGTCTCGGGGACTCCAGGGCAGCACTGATGCTCCTTCCCCTGCCCCCAGGAGTCCAAGGGGCAGCGGAAGGTGCTGGCCACGGCCGAGGTGGACCTGGCCCGCCACGCGGGGCCCGTGCCTACCCAGGTCCCGCTGCGGCTGCGGCTGAAGCCCAAGTCAGTGAAGGTGGTACAGGCCGAGCTAAGCCTCACTCTGTCCGGGGTGCTGCTGCGGGAGGGCCGCGCCACGTGAGTGCCTGCCCGCCCTCCTGGGTCCTAGTCTACAACCTCTGATGCCAGCCCTCACCCCTGGTCTCCAATCCGCAGGGATGATGACATGCAGAGCCTTGCGAGCCTCATGAGCATGAAACCTAGTGACGTGGGCAACTTGGATGACTTTGCCGAGAGTGATGAGGAGGAGGCCAATGGTCCAGGGGTCCCAGAGGCGCGGGCACGTGGCCCCCAGCCAGGTGGGCAGCCAGCTGGAGGTTGAGATCACCAAGACGCGGGGGTGGGGATCACCCAGGCCAAAAATCCTCTTGCTGTTTTGGGGCAGGGTCAGTGGAGGGAGCTCACTGCTGCCAGGGCTCCCAGCCTGCCCAGCAGCCCTGAGTGTCCTGCAAGATGGGTTCCCAGTGCCCCCCACTCCATGCCCCCGACCCTCTCCTCGCCCTGGGTGTGCACCTGCCCACAAATCTGCCCGGAGACAGCTGGGCCAAAAGCACAGAGAGGGCTGCAGCCTGGGCTCGCCACCCTTCACCACACAACCTCGTCCCTCTCTTCTGCTTGTGAAGGCTTTTTTTTTCGTCTGTCCATCTCTCTCTCTTTTTCTCTGCATCTGTGGGCCTGTCTCTTCTCCTAGGCCGGGGCGGTGCCCTGAGGCTGGGGCATTTTCCAGGTAGGCCCAGCATTCTAGTTGGGGAAAGGGGGGAGGGTAAGACCTGCAGGGCCCTTCCTGGCGCTGACCTTGCCCCCAACACCCTATCCCCAGAGACCCCTCGGGAGCTGAAGACACTTTGTGAGGAGGAGGAGGAGGGCCGATTGCAGCCCCGGCAGGCAGGTGAGGCCCAGGCTGGGGTTGGGGTAGGCCCGGGGTGGGGGGGCTGTGACTTCCGGTCCCAGGTCCCAGGCCTCAGCATCCTCTCCCTTCCTCCTCCCTGTAGCTGCCAGCCCTTCTAGTGCTGAGGATACCAGCCCAGCCCCTGTGAGTGCCTCTGCGCCACCAGCCAGGGCCTCCCGGGGCCAGGGCTCAGAACCAGCTACTGTAGCAGGGGGCCAGGTGGGGCTCAAGGTCCCAAGGCCCCCCGGAACCCCGCCGGAGACAAGGTGAGCTTTGGAATCAGCTCCAGCCCCTCTCCCCCATCTGCTCCTCAGAAGTTGTACACCCCGCGCCAACCTGCCTTTCCAGGGTCCCAGGAGTCTGACAGGCGGGGAGGGGGGCTAAGGGGAGGGGTGAAAAATGAGCTCTTGCAGTGCATCCTTTTCTGCTCTCTCCTCAGGTCCTCAAGACAGCCAGGCCAGGACGTGGTCCCCACTCCGGCCCCTAGGCTCCGGAAAGGCTCTGATGCCCCCTGGCCCCCAGTCCACCAAGGAGAGGATGAGGCCCCCAAAGCCTCCGGGGTTCCCCCAGCAGGAGTGGATTCTGCTGTGGAGACCCAGGCTTGGGCAAGCCCTCAGGAAGGGACAGAGGCCCAGGGAGCGGGGCTGGGCCCAGGCATTGAGAACAGAGACTCCAGCAACTCTTTGGAAGGGCAGAAACCCAAGGCTGAGGAGGGGGGCACTGGAGACAGGGCAGAGGCTAGTGGGGTGGACACTGAGCCTGGGTCAGGAGTCAGAGAGGTGAACAGCAAGAGGTCAGCGGTCAGAGCTGGGGAGGCTGAAGAGAGTTTAGAAATCGGTCACGTGGATGCAGAGCAGAGGTCAAAGGTGAAACCTGTGGACACTAATGGACCAGAGGCCACAGAGGTGACATCTGAGGCAAGATTCAAGGGGACTCCTGAGGCTCCTCCAAGGGGCTCTCAGGGGAGGACGGGGGTCAAGACCAGGGATGAAGCTCCCACAGTCCTGAGCCCAATGCCAGCAGATCCTGCAGGGCATTCCGGGCATCTGGGTGACCTCAAGGCGGCCAGGGCTGCTGCAGGCCAGGAGAGAGAGTGTGCAGAGGTGAGGGGCAGAGACCCTGGTGTTGGGGGGACAGGCCTGGAGCAGGGACCCTCTGCTGGAGCAGCAAGCGCTGGGCCCCAGGTGAGCCGGTACCAGGGGGTCCCACCAGCAGCTGAACAAGGGGTGGTGTCCAGGGATCTGAGGGTCTGGGAGGTAGAAACTGGGGATTCGAGGGTCCTGGGAACAGAGACCGGGGTGGCAGAGTCAGAGTTATTGGGGACCCAGGAGATCTCAGGGTCCCCAGAGATAGTGTCTGAGGCAGTAGAAGCAAAGACACTGGGGACCCAGGAGACAGAGGCAGTGAGATTGGGGATCCTGGAGTCAGAGGCTGCTGAGATGGCAGGGTCTGAGGATCTCAGGACCCAGAAAACAGGGGTAAGCATTTCAGGGGCCTCAGGGACAGAGGGTGGGATGGCAGAGTGTAAGGCATTGGGGACCCAGGAAACAGAGGCTGGGGGTTCAGAAGTTCTGGGGACAAAGACTAGGATGTTGGAAACTGAGATATTAGGGACCCAGGAGATATCTGGGTGCTCAGGGATACTGAGAAGAGAAGCTGAGATAGCAGAGTCTGGAATACTTGGGGCTCAGGACACAGAAGTGGGGTGTTCAGGGGTCTCAGAGATAAAATCCAACATAAGAGGGAGCCAGGAGACAGAGGTAGGGGGTTCAGGGGTCCCAGGGACAGAGACTGAAGTAGCAGAAGCTGAGATACTAGAGATTCAGGAGATCGAAGCTGGGAGTTCAAAGGCCCCAGAGATGGAGACTAAGACATTGGAGAACCAGGAGACAGAGGTAGGGGGCTCAGGGGTCCCAGAGATGGAGACTGAGACATTGGGGACCCAGGAGACAGAGGTAGGGGGCTCAGGGGCCCCAGAGATGGAGACTGAGACACTGGGGAACCAAGAGACAGAGGTAGGGGGTTCAGGGACCCCAGAGATGGAGACTGAGACCCTGAGGACTCAGGAGACAGAGGTAGGGGACTTAGGGGCCCCAGAGATGGAGACTGAGACCCTGAGGACCCAGGAGACAGAGGTAGGGGATTTAGGGGCCCCAGAGATGGAGACTGAGACCCTGAGGACTCAGGAGACAGAGGTAGGGGACTTAGGGGCCCCGGGGATGGAGACTGAGACCCTGAGGACCCAGGAGACAGAGGTAGGGGACTTAGGGGCCCCAGAGATGGAGACTGAGACATTGGGGACCCAGGAGACAGAGGTAGGGGGCTCAGGGGCCCCAGAGATGGAGACTGAGACCCTGAGGACCCAGGAGACAGAGGTAGGGGACTTAGGGGACCCGGGGATGGAGACTGAGACACTGGGGACTCAGGAGACAGAGGTAGGGGACTTAGGGGCCCCGGGGATGGAGACTGAGACCCTGAGGACCCAGGAGACAGAGGTAGGGGACTTAGGGGCCCCAGAGATGGAGACTGAGACATTGGGGACCCAGGAGACAGAGGTAGGGGGCTCAGGGGCCCCAGAGATGGAGACTGAGACCCTGAGGACCCAGGAGACAGAGGTAGGGGACTTAGGGGACCCGGGGATGGAGACTGAGACACTGGGGACTCAGGAGACAGAGGTAGGGGACTTAGGGGCCCCGGGGATGGAGACTGAGACACTGGGGACTCAGGAGACAGAGGTAGGAGATTCAGGGTCCTCAGGGTCAGAAGCTGGAATGGCAGAGGCTGAGGCACTAGGGAGTCAACAGACAGGAACTACAGTTTTAGAGGCTGAGAAGGGAAAAGTTCGGACTTCCGGGGTCCAGGAGGCAGAGACTGGACCTGGGGAGACCTTCAAATATATAGGGGTCCCAGTCATAAAGCATGAAGTTTTAGGATCCCAGGGAGCAGAGGCAGAAACTACAGTTTCAAGGGGCCAGGAGGTGGAGACTGGGAATTGGGGAGTTTCAGAGGCCAAGTCTGGGGTTTGGGGGGCCAAGGAAGGAGAGATGGAAGTTTCAGGGACTTCAGAGAACCCATCTGGTATTTTTGAGGCCCAGGAAGCAGAGGCTGGGGTCTCAGGAGCCGAGAAGGGAAAAGAAGCTGAGGGAAACCTCCCAGAGGCCAGCCTGATGGAGGTGCAGGTGGCCAGTGGGGCAGGGGCTGGGGTGTCCAGGCCCTCCGGGGCCTCTTCCCCAGAGGAGCCTGAAGAGGACAGGAGGCTGCCGGGCAGCCAGGTAGGGATGGGGGCCGCCAAGGGCCCAGTCTGCTGCTTCCCACTAACCTGGGCTGAGCGAACGGTGGCTCTGCATGGACCCACCTGGCCGACTGGGGTGGGGTGGGACAAGGGCTCAGCTTCCAGGAGCCCCTTGCCCCCTCCCCTCTCAGGATGCCCTGGCTCCCCCACCCTGTCTCCCCTGGGCTGCATGGAGTAGGACCCCTCCCAAAGCTGATCTTCTGGGCTGACCTGGAGGTGTGGCTGCTTGTTACTTCTGTTCTTGCCTGGGGGCCACTGACCTTTTAGGTGACCTTGATAGATAACCCTGGACCTGGAAACCTCTTTGCCTGATGCTAAAGCCCTGGCCAATGGTGTGCAGTGACTCCTGCAGACCCAGAGCTGGAGCTGTTTTGTGCCCAAGGGACAGAGGGGGCAGGTCCCACGTCCACATTCCCTGACCCATCCCTGTGTCCCCAGGCACCACCTGCCCAGGTCAGCTTCAGCCAGTCCCTGCTAGAGTGGTGCCAGGAAGTCACCGCCGGCTACCGTGGCGTGCGCATCACCAACTTCACCACGTCCTGGCGCAACGGTTTGGCCTTCTGTGCCATCCTGCACCGATTCTACCCAGACAAGATGTGAGCAGCCGGAGGGGGTGGCAGTGAATGGGGAAGCCTGCGGAGGAGGGGAGGGTGGCGGGAATCCAGCCTCTGATCAGCGCTCTCCCTGCAGAGACTTTGCCTCCCTTGACCCCCTGAACATCAAACAGAACAACAAGCAGGTGAGAAGGGGCAGGGCTGGTGCTTGGAGGGAAGGAGGGTCCAGCCAGGCCCAAGCTGAGATCTGGGATCCTCCTCTGTGTGTAGGAGAGTAATCTGTGGGCTTCAGGGCCCCAGCACTGGCTTTTGGGAGTTCTGCCACTTATTACCCTTTTGGTCTTTAAACTGTTCGTTTTCCTGAGTTTAGTTATGTTTTTTTTTTAAAGCATATTTCCACCAGATGGTTTTCCCTGAAACCACCCTTTTGGTGTGCTGTTGCTGGGTAACACGGGGGCGGATCCTGTTGCTAGATTTCTCCCAATAGGAGGGCGAGGGCGCTGCGGGCAAAGCCGGGCGTGCCAGTCGCGGGGACCCCCGCGGCGGGCCGGGGCGGGGCGGCCGCGTCGCTGGGTAACCCTCCTGCATGCTCCCTAGGCCTTCGATGGCTTCGCGGCCCTGGGCGTGTCGCGGCTGCTGGAGCCGGCGGACATGGTGCTGCTGTCGGTGCCCGACAAGCTGATTGTCATGACGTACCTGTGCCAGATCCGCGCCTTCTGCACGGGGCAGGAGCTGCAGCTGGTGCAGCTGGAGGGCGGCGGCGGCGCGGGCACGTACCGCGTGGCCAGCGCCCAGCCGAGCCCGCCCGACGACCTGGACACCGGGGGCCTGGCGCAGCGGCTGCGCGAGCACCGGGCCGAGGCGCCCCAGCAGCCCCAGGAGGCCGCGACCCGCGTGGACGGGGCGGCCCCTGAGGCGGCCACCAAGGACCGCGGGGCCGTAGCCGCCCAGGAGGCGCGCTCCGCCGAGGCCCCGGCCGACGGCCCCGGAGCCCGGGCGCCCGTGCCCCCGGCAGAGGGGCTGGTGAACGGGGTCGGGGCGCCGGGCGGCGTGAGGCTGCGGCGGCCGTCGGTCAACGCGGAGGCCGGGCCGGTGCCTCCGCCCCGCGCGCACGGCTCCTTCTCGCACGTGCGCGACGCCGACCTGCTGAAGAAGAGGCGCTCGCGGCTCCGGAACAGCAGCTCCTTCTCCGGGGACGAGCCCGACTCGGGAGCGGCGGGAGCGGCGGCGGTGAGTGCCCTCCAGCGGCGCGGGGTCGGGAGAGAGAGGCGGCGCAGGGGTGAGGGCCGACGGGCCTCTGCTGGACGCCGAGGCACCGGTGCCACGGAGGAGTATCCTGCGAGCTCCTCAGCAGGGGCGCCCGTGCCCAAGGCCCGCCCGGCCCGGAGCCGCTGACTTGCTGCCAGCCTTGGGATGGCACTCAGGGGAGTCAGGCTGTAATAGAAAGTTCCCAGAAGGCTCTGGGAGTCAGCACTCAGCTCACGCTCTTCATCAGCTGTCAAGTGGGCTGGGGGTGCCCACCACCTCCCTGGAAGCTGGGAGCGGGGTTTCTGTACTCAAAGGAGCTCTCCAGGGCCTCCCGGCTCCAAGACTCTCTGACTTGAATCTTTAACTCCAGACGCTGGAGACCAGTTTCCTAGAGTCTACTCCGATGAGGGAAAGTTGGAGATGGGAGACCCTGGTGGGTGCCCATGTCCCCCCATCCCTTGCAGGTCTCAGGTCAGCCTCCCAGGGTGTCTTGCGGTGGTGGTTTAGTCGCTCAGTTGTGTCCGACTCTTTGTTACCCCATGGACTGTAGCCCGCCAGACTTCTCTGTCCATGAGATTTCCCAGGCAAGTTTACTGGAGTGGGTTGCCATTCCCTTCTCCAGGGGATCTTCTCAACTCGGGGATGGAACCCGGGTCTTCTGCCTTGCAGGCCGGTTCTTTACCAACTGAGCCACCAGGGAATCTTGTGGCCACTACACTAAAAGGGAGACTGTTCCATAAGGGTCAAGGGTTTGCTCAAGGACTCACAGCTGCCGAAGTCCAGCCCTGGACTCTGCAGCAGCACCATCCTGGACAGTGGGGGCAGCTCTGTCAGGCTGCTTCAAGCCTTCGGCTGCCCAGGGAGGACCCCTGAGTTCTAAGGAAAAGAGGGAACAAACTGGGATAGGCTTTTTGCAAGAAGCAGCCACTTAAGCCAGGCTACTAAAATGGGCAGCTTTTCCCAGATGAAGAATCTGAGGGGTGGTTCTCAAGAGGTGGGACCTCACAAGTAAACATGAGGTCACAGGAAAGCTTGGGTCTTACTTAGGGAACTGCCGATCACCTCCTGTAAGCTCACCTCCTGTAAGGTCACCTCCGGTGGGCAGTGATGAGGCTGGCCTGGAGAGCAGGAGCCCTGAGTGTGGGGTTGGAGGTGCAGCATTGACCCTATGAATGAGAAACAGGGAGAGCATCAGAGACACCCAGAGGAGCTGTGCTGGACAGCTATCCTGGGCTGTGTTAGCCTGTGGCCAAAGCCCCCTCAGTATGTGTCAATGGCTCTTTATATCTTAAAAGGGAAGGCTCTGTTACATTGTACTTGAGAGATGAAAAACTCCTGTTGTATTTGGACACAATTATTCTTATTAAAATACACATCCATGAGCAGTGGAAAAAGAAAAAAGGAAAGCTTGATTTTTCTGGGCCCAGGTCCCAGTGTCTGGTCTTCTAAGCCAGGCCCCTCTCCAGCCCTTGTCCCACAGGAGATATTTGACCCACGGAGCTGTGAGGGCCTGCTTCCTTCTTGGCCACTCCCACCCCCCACCCCGTGCATGCTGTGGAGGAGGTAGGGCCTGCCCCTGGATAGGATGAAGTCAGGCAGCTTGAAGCTGGGGCGAGGCTGAAGCCAGGAGGCCCGAGTGCCTCTGGGGTGGCTCTACGAGGGCTTCCTGGAGGAGGGGGCCGCACAGGAGACTGTAGAAAGGGGAATTTGGGTCAGATGTGAGGAAGTGTTGGAATTCCCATCAGAGCAGCTGTGAGTAAGCTCAGTTGCTGCTGAGGTTGGGGTTTCTCCACTTTCCCGCCTCTGCCTGCCCTGTTGGTTGAGCACTTGCTTCCTGTCTGGCCTGCCCCGCCTCCACAACCCCTCATCAACTCCTCACCGACTCATACAGTGCTTCTTCTGGGGGAGAAACGTTTACCCCGTTTTCAAGTAGAAATGTCTGGGCCCAGGGATGTGAGTGTAAAGGTAGTCGGTCCTGGGTGTGAACCCCCAGTTCCATGAGACGGAACTCCCAAATGGTGCCCTCTGCTGGGCCCAGCAGTATGCACTGGCTGCATGACCTGGGACAAGCCACCTCTCTGCGTTCTTTTCCTGAGGATAAGAAGCAAAGACATGAAAGTTTTTTTATTTTTATTTATTTATTTTTTTTTTTTTGAAAGTTTTTTTGCAAAGTGGTTTTGAGGGACCACTGCAGGGTGTTGTCAAAAAAAAAAAGGGGAACTGTGTTTTTTCCTCACATGCCTGTCTGGAGCCCTGCAACCCCCCCTGGGGCTTTTATGTCCTTTATGTACAAGGACACAAACAGGCCCGGTGGGTATGACTGGCCCAGAGGCAGACAGCAAATTGGTGGCCAAACTTGGGAACAGACTGTTGGATTAGACAGTGGAGCCCAAGCCAGGCCCTGTTTGAGTGTCATCTCTGTTTGAGTGTCATCTCTGATCCTTAGTTTCCTCATCTGTAAAATGGGGAAGGAAAGGGTCCCTGCCTCACAGTGCTGTTGGGAAGATGAAATGAGTCAGGGCACCCACAGCATCCAACACACCGACAGATGCTTGATGAACATCCTGCAATTACTGTTAATGCGGTGCGCCCTGAGTGTGTCCTCTGGACCCCAGCCTGTCTGCAGGGGCTGCCTCTGCCTAAGGAGACGGGAGTAGCCAGCAGTCATGGCGGGGTGGGAGTGGGGTTGGAGCTGTAATGGGAGAGGCTCTGGGGGCCGTGGTGAGGATTGAGGAGGCTTCAGGAGGCATGAAAGTCAGGGAGGGAGGAAGAAGGCCGGGTGAAGGAGCCTCTCGAGGAGGTGGGGCTGAGCTGGGTCATGAAGGGCGAGTTGACGTCTAGCCTCCCAAGAGAGAGGCTGCTCCAGGCTGAGGAAACGATTTGGGGAAGCGAAAGTCCACCACTGGGGCCGGAGGGTGGTGTCTGGATGGGGTTCAGGGCAGTAGGAGTTAATGTTGGAACTGCCAACAGGCCTTGGCAGCAAGACTGGGGGCTGAGAAGGCAAGTGAGGAGAGTGACAGTATTGGGGTGAAGGTTTAGGGAGACCCCCCCTCCTCAGTTGTGGCCTGAGGGTAAAGTCAGCAGGCAGGGCGTGAGGCGGGGAGGGGGCAGCTGGTAAAGAGGCTGCCACCTGCCCAGACCAGAGAGGGTGTCCCCTGAGGAGGGCACTTCCAGGGCTGCGTCTCAGAGAGGTGCCTGGGAGGGTGGATGGTGGGGTGGCTCAGCGCTTTCTTCTCACCGTGTGACTTGGAAAGGTGGCCAGAGCAGGAATCCTTGAGGGGGCCAGGCTATCAGCTGAGCTGAATGTTTGGGGCCTCAAGGGCTGACAGTGCCAGCAAGTTGTTGGAGCAGGGCATCTGAGGGGCCAGCTGCCCTTCCGGGCTAAAATCGGCGGTCCCGCCGCCTATTCTGTTCTGACGGTCATGTGACACATCCTTCAGGTGTGGGGATTGAGAAGGCGGGAGGGGGGCCCCCTTTTGGCCAGAAGATGGAGGCACTGGCTCATGATGGCCAGGTTCGCCTCAGCTCAGTGTCCCTATGTGGGGCCCGGCCATGATCAGAGAGGCTGGCGCTAGGTGACGGAGTCTGAGGAGGCCTGAGACAGCTCTCAGGAGAGGCCCCAGCTGGGCCCCTCACAGCCTTTCACCTCCGACTCACAAAAGCCCTGTGGGGCCCCAGGAATGGGGACTGTGAGGCTTGGCCAGCGGGAGTGGACTGGCCCGACCACAGGGCCCGGGGTGGTGGAGGCCACGGCCTTCGCTCAGAAGCGGTTCTCCAGAAGGGGTGGAGGTGGGGTTCTTGACGGCTGGACTGAGAAGCTGATGGGGCAAGGAGGCCCCTCCTCCCCATGTGAGTGGGGCTCTGGCTGGCCCCTGGGCCTGCTGTCAGGGGAGCCCCTCCAAGCCCTTACTGGCCTCTTTCTCCACAGGAAGGCGCGCGCCCTGACCCCAGCCCTGCCCCTGGCCTTCCCGCAGCCTCAGCCCCACAGCAGCCCTCTGGTGAGTAGCTTCGAAGTGGTGGTGACTCAGCTCAACTCAGCCGGCTCACAGATCCTGAGCTGGGGCCCCTCTGGGGGCAGCTGTCAGTTGGGGGGTCCCTCAGCCTGGTCTCTGTCCGCAGGTGGGACACCTCCTTCGGAAGAACCGCCCCCAAGCCCAGGGGAGGATGCTGGGCTGGTAAGGAGGGCTGAAGTGGAAGGAGCTGATGGGTGGGCTTCCTAGGCGGGGCCTGGGCCAAACCCACCCTGTCCCTTGCACCCCAGCAACGGTTCCAGGACACAAGTCAGTACGTGTGCGCGGAGCTTCAGGCCTTGGAACAGGAACAGAGGCAGATAGACGGGCGGGCATCCGAGGTGGAGAAGCAGCTAAGGAGCCTCATGGAGTCAGGTGGGACGGGCGTCCTGAGTCCACTCGCCAGCACATGCCACCGCATCTGGCCCGCTCTGCAGCTCTTTCTGACCCTGGGAGGAGTCGGGAGGATGGAGGCTGGGGTCACTATCCCCATTTACCGCTGGGCATGCTGAGGCCTGCAGCCCGGCAGCAGCTTGCTGGAGGCACACACCTCTGGTTTCTGGGATACTCAAGGGAAACCACGCCCCCACCCCACCCCCAACCCCCTGCCGCCATCAGTTCCTGCTCCTGACATAGGGGTCAGGGGCTGGCCTGGTGACTGTCCTGGCCTGATTCAGGTACTGACAGGCTGCAGGAGGAGGTACTGATCCAGGAGTGGTTCACTCTGGTCAACAAGAAGAACGCTCTCATCCGCAGGCAGGACCAGCTGCAGCTGCTGTGAGTGCTGATCCTCCCCACTCAGGCCTTGCCTCTGCCCACCCAGGGCTGGCAGAGCAGTGCGTGCATGCTAAGTTGCTTCAGTCATGTTTGACTCTTTTCGACCCCATGGACTGTAGCCTGCCAGGCTCCTCTGTCTATGGGATTCTCCGGGCAAGAATACTGGAGTGGGTTGCCACGCCCTGCTCCAGGGGTTCTTTCTGATCCAGGGAGTGAACCCATGTTTCTTATGTCTCCTGCATTGGCAGGAGGGATTTTTTTTTACCACTAGTACCACCTGGGCAGAGCAAATGCAAACTTAACTACCTTGATTAGAACTCTTCACTGCTTTTTTCTTTCTACAAAGTTGCAGTTTCTTTCCTTCCTTTTTTTTTTTGAGAAATTGCTCAGCCATCTTAATTTTTTTTCATAACTTCCTGTGTAAAGTGTATACTTCTTAAATTGGTACTGTTTTTATGAATGAGAAAATCGAGGCCCAAAGAAAACTGTGGCAGGTTAGTGCTGAGCGCCCCAGTTTGACCCCGTTCCTTTACAGTGAGGAACACTGAGGCCTAGAGACAGCTGAGCTGGGTTCCTGAGTGGGGTCAGAAACAATTCCCAGGGCATCATTGCCTTTATAGTCCTGCATGGTGAAGGTGGTTTTGCCTCCTTTTTGCATCTTGGGTCATTTTTCAGAATAAATTTTAGTCTAATATTTGCCATTTATGAATAATATTCATCCAAACAATCCTGGGTTGTTTCTTATTTTTGAAAAAGGGGTCGGTGGGGGGAGGAGACTATATGTTGGGGAACAGTTGAAACAGAAGAGGTACTTCCCTGGCCGTCCAGTTGTTAAGACGCCCTGCTTCCACTGCAAGGTGTGCAGGTTCCATATCCCTGGTGGGGGAACTAAGATCCTATATGCCGCTTAAAAAAAAACCTGAAACAAAAGAGAGAATTCCAAGCTGGGACTGGGGTATAGCTCTGCCTGCCTATAGCGTCTGTGGGAACTGATGGTGAGGTGGGGTGAGGGCCAGGGGGTGGTCGAGAACCCTGGACACTCCCGGCCATTCCTCTTTCCCTGACCTGGCACCCCACCCCCAGCATCGAAGAGCAGGACTTGGAGCGGAGATTTGAGCTGCTGAGCCGGGAGCTACGGGCGATGCTGGCCATTGAAGGTGGGAGATGGGGCTGTGGGACCGGGGACCAGGACGGGGCAGGGGCTGGCGCCTCCTGACCCTAAGCCTCCTCTGCCCACAGACTGGCTGAAAACGGCTGCGCAGCAGCGCCGAGAGCAACTCCTGCTGGAGGAGCTGGTGTCGCTGGTGAACCAGCGAGACGAGCTGGTCCGGGACCTGGACCAGAAGGAGCGGACGTGAGTGAGGCCGGCATGCGCCGGAAGCTGGAGAGGGGTGGAGAAGCGCTGGGGAGGGGTGGGGGGGGGGCTGTCAAGGAGGAGTGCTCGGTCTGGGCCCCGGGCGGCGGCCAGCGTGTGGGCCCCGACGCCGCTGGGACTGACCGGAACCCGTTCCCTCCCAGCGCCCTGGAGGAGGATGAGCGCCTGGAGCGCGGCCTGGAGCAGCGGCGCCGCAAGCTGAGCCGGCAGTTGAACCGGCGCGAACGCTGCGTGCTGAGCTGAGACTGCAGGGGCCCAGACGCCTTCGGTTCTTTCGGACCGCAGCCTTTCTCGCCGCCGCGCCGGATCGCCGCTTTGGGCCTGCGCTCGGGAGGACCGGACCCTCCCCGGTGCGCGCGCGACCAGTAGGGGCCGCCGCGATCCTTTATTGGGAAAGAAAGCGCAGCCTTTCAGGCCCCGACGGACAAGGGCGGCAGGCTGGGCGGCCGCGCCGCCCAGGCCGTATTTATTAGTCCATGTGAGTGAGTGTGCGTGTATGTTCGTGGTGGACTGAGGGTCCCAGGCGTGCCCACCCAGAGCCCGTTCCCGATGGTCGAACCCGGCCGGCGAGCTCCAGGGGGTGGGAGGGATGGTTGGTGAACTGCCGCGCTCAACACCCCGCCCCCCTTCCTTTTCCTCGCGAGCAATAAAGTTGGAAAAGGCCACGCCAGCGCGCCTGGGCTTTCTCAGGGTGACCCGGGCTTTCAATAGACGGAAGGGGGTGGGGCCTTGGCCGATAAGGCGGTCTGCGATCCTCACTGGGACTGTGCAGAGTGGGAAGGTTTTTAGATGCCAGCCAAGGCGGGACCAGAGGCCTGACCTCTGCCTTTAAAGGATGATGGAGCTTGGGTTGTTGATGGCTGTAGGGAAGTCCCGTTTCGAACGAAGAGACGATAACAGCCGGCTGTGTTGCCTGTTTTTTATTAACACATTATTTCCCGAGGTTCTCACATCCACCCCTTCCCTTCCCTCCTCTGGAGGCTTCCCCAGCCACTCCCCAGGGCTCCCTCCTCAGGCTTCTCCACCTGAAAGGAGCGCAGCTCCATCACCGACACCTGTCAGCAAGCTGGGGCCTGTGCTGGGGCCGCCGCTGAGGGTGGCATGGTGCTCAGAGCCAGTTCGTCCTGGCCTATGATGGCACCTTCGTCCTCAGCATTCACAGGGCCGCTGGACCCGAAGAACTTCACCATGGCACGGACCTGGGGCAGCTCCGAGAAGGTCTCCACGGTCAGCAGCATGGCCAGGAGCCCCAGCAGCAAGTAACCTGAGGAGGGGAGGTTACTAGGGCAGCTCTCCTGCTCCCACCCACACAATTCTCTTCCCACTGCCAACTGAGACTCTGCACCATGCCCTGGGGCAGGGGCCTGTGAGACAGCCTCCCCCAGGGGCTTATGGGAGTTGTAGTTCAGGCTCCTCTTCCCTCCTGTCCTCCCCCCGCCCCCCATCCTCCTTAGCCGCTGAACTCACCCAGAAGCGCAAACTGGCCGAGGTGGTAAAGCGCCGGGTGCAGGCCACTGCCGCGGCCCGGCAGCAGGTCCCCCAGGCCAATGGTGCTGAGGGAGCTGAAGCAGAAGTAGATGGCCTCCAGCAGGCTGCAGTCGCCCTGTACACCCCACAGCACCAGTGCTGGCAGCAGCACGAAGACACCAACCACTAGCAGGCCCAGTGCAACTGCCTGCAGCAGCGCAGCCCTGGGCGGCGTCAGCTGCCAGCGGGTGGCTACCCAGGCCCCGGGGCGGCTGAGCAGAGGCGCCAGGCAGTGGCGCAGGGCAGCCACAAGGGCTAAGGAGGCCGGCAGCCCCAGGGCCGCGTAGGCCACACAGAAGGCCTTTCCACCAGCTGACAGCGGGGCCATGTGGCCGTAACCTGGAGGGGAGAGAGCCGTGGGTAATGAGGACCCGGGTGGGGTCGCTGGCGCCCACTTCCCCGAGCCTTGCTCCTGCAGAAGGCTGCCCTCTGGTGGCCGGCATGGCCGGAACTATTCAGGCCCTGTTGTGGGCTCTTCCCCTCGTTCACTGGGGGTCTTGGTCAAGTCCCTGAATCTCTCTGGGTCACTCTTTAATGTTCTGGAACATGAAAGGATGAGAAGAGTCCCCCTCAGGCTGGGGTAATTCTGAGAGCTTCTATCCTACCCTGAGGCAGCCTGACCTCCTGAGAGATTCCTCAGACTGTCTTTGATCCACACTTCCCAGCTGAGCAGGTGAAATGTTACCCAGTCTTTTATTCATTCCCCAAAGGCATATCAAGTTACGCTGGGTGCCAGGCCCTGTGCTGGAACCTGAGTCTGCTCAGGTTTAGATGGGAGGCATAAAATCAGTCAAGACACCAGACATGGAGGGTTGCAAAAGAGGCAGCGTGCTTTTCAGGGGTGGAAAGGTATGTGCAAAGGCAGGTGAGGTGAAAGATCAGGGCCTGCCAGGGGAACAGGATCAGCTGGTCCAGGGCTGTAAAACGCAGATGCCTGGAGTCAGAAGTGAGCCAAAAGGGAGTGGTGGGGACAGGGGTGGATTGGAGAGCAAGCACGCACGCTGTCCCAAGGGCGGGCCCTGTTCTCCAACAGGAGCTTCTGGCTCAGCGCAAGTAGGTTTCCAAGTTTCTCCAAAAGAAAGTGGAAAATGGACTTCAAAAAATACTCAGGACTTCAGTGGTGGTCTGATGACTAAGGCTCCGTGCTCCCAATGCAGGGGGCCGGGTTCAATTCCTGGTCAGGGAACTGGACCTCACGTGCCACAACTAAAGATACCAGAATGAAGATCCAAGATTCTGGGTGTTGCAACTAAGACCCAGTGCAGCCTAGATAAATAAATGAATTTCACATACTTTACAGGGCAAGCACCGCACTCCCACCCCCAGCCCCCCACTTCCTGGGCTCTGGGCCTTCACACTTGTTTCCTCTGCCAGGAATTTCTTTGCCCTCTTGCCTGGGCTAACGTCTCATTAGCTAACATCCTCCCCCCACACTCCTCCTGGGTTGGTGGTCCCTGGGTTCTCTCCGTTTCCCTCTATCCAAGAATCCATCCCACAGCACAGGCTCCCCAGTCTCTGCCTCAGGCCTGTAGGGTCTGGGCACCTCCCCTGGGTCTCACAGCTGCCTGGGGGTGGGGCTGAGGAGGCCACGCCCCCTGGCACCTGAAGTTGAGGCACCAGTTGGGGTGTGTTGGTGGGGGGAGCCCCAGCCCTGATGACAGGCCTAATGAGGCCTGGGTTCTGTCTAGCAGTTTGGGGCCTGGAGAGGGCTGCACCCTCAGGGACCCCAGGTAGGGACGGCCTCGAGAGCGCCTTCCTGCCGGGCCGCCGGGCCGCCTTACCCGTGGTGGTGAGGAGGCTGGCAGTGAAGAGCAGGGCTGAGGGCAGATCCCAGTTCCTGGCCTCGGAGTCATTGCCCAGGCTGGAAACCCCATGGGCCTGGGCTACCAGGGCGGTGCCCAGCAGCTCTTCCAGCGCCCCAGGTGGCAGGCAGGCTCCGAACTCTGCCTGGAAGGTGGCCAGCTCGGCCCTGAGGTTAGCCTGGAGCCGAAGGGCTGGAGGCCCCTCCAGGGCTTGGAGCACTGTGGCCCCAAGCCCCAAGGCCAGCAGGTGGGCCACAGCCAGTAGCCCGTATCGGGCCCAGGGCCTTAGAGCCCCCATGGTATGCCACCAGAATCCGTCAGAGGTTCCCTGGGAGCCGACTCTCCACCACAGGCACCTGGGAGGGGCTGGGCAGGGTGGGGCTGGGGGGAGGGGCTGCGTGGGTGGCTGGAGAGGGAAGGAAGCCTGGGATGGAGCTGGGGTGAGTAGGGCCAGGAGGGTGAGGCTGCGGCTCAGGTTTGGGAGGGAGCTGGGTCACTCCTCCATTTCTGGGGGCAACAAGTTTTCCACCCAGGTCCCCAGAGCTGGGTGGTTGAGTGGTGGGCAGTCAGGATCAGGTGGGAGGAAGGCAAGGCGATCAACTAGCTCCCCCTCCCACAGTGGTGGATCATGCAAGGACGAGCTCACCCAGTCACAGACCCCATTCACTGGTCAGCTGGTCCCCAGATCCTGAGGACACTAGGGGAGAGGACAGAGGCAGGTCCCTGCCTTCCCGGCCTTCCCAGGAGAAACCTGTTAGCAAGGAGGAGGGCAAGTTCACATTGTCATAGACTCCCTGAAGGGAAAGCCCTGGATGATGGGGGAGGGGAACTTCGCCTGAAAAGCTCCTCTGGGGAGCGACAGTTCAGCTGGGGAAGAGAAGAGGCCAGGCCAGGTGGGAAGGCGATTGGGTGGTGAGAAAAATGGGGACCTATGGACAGGGCTATGGCAGGTACCCCAGATGAGAAGGTGGTGGTCTGGGCAGCAGAATGGGAGCGGGATGGTGGGACTTGGGATGGGGCGGGCAGGACAGGTGTGGAGGACGCTGGGCTCCCTGGAGAGGTGAGGCTCCCGCCATTCCCAATCCTTCCTGAGAAACTCTTGTGCTCTCCCAAGTCCCCCACCCTGCTGAACACGAGTCACAGTAGATCTGGATGCCTGGGAGTGCGAAGGGGAGGGGGAGAGGGAGCCTGGACCACGACCCCCACAAACCATTGGGGGATGAGCCCGGGGGCCCCTGCCCTAGGCGTGTAATGGGAGGGGTGGTCCTGGGGTGTGGTGTGGAAGGGGTGGTCTGCAGAACCCCTGTGGCTTCTTAAGAGAAGCGTGAGTGGAGCCAGGTGTCAGGGTGGATGACCCCCTCCTGTGTCCAGGTCTCAGGATAAAAACAAACCCTGGACAAACCCCTAAGATGCCTTCCAGAGGACCGTGGGCTCCCGAGTTCAGCAAGCTGCCTGGAGTGGGCGCAGCATGGCCAGGAAGGAGCCCGAGGGGAGGTGGTGTTATTGCTGGGCCCTGAGGCTAAGTGGGGACCACCCTGCAACAGGAACAATCAGGGCAAACAGTCGCTTGACACAGTGGGAAAGGCCTGGCAAGGGTAGGAACAGGTGAGTAAGGCCAAAGTGTATGGGTATCAGGGAGGCTGAGAAGGGCTTTGTAACACCTGATGATCCACTGAACTTGATCCTGGGAGAGAAATGTGGTCCAGAGCATCCCAGCATCGGCCCAGGCCACCTGCCATTCTGCTAGGGGCCTGAGGTCACCAGGGTCATGGAATGGTTAGGATCCCCCCGTTACCTCCAAGAACGTTGACAGGCTGTGCTTGGGGGGACAGCTTGGGGAGTTTATTTGGCTTCATTGGATCCTGAGGCCATGGCCCCAGCCCTGGCCGGGGCAGCAGGAAGGCACCCAGAGAGCCCCGGCCCCAGATGACCCCCAGGGCAGGGGGGCCCAGGCTCTAAGGCCGGCCCCGCTCCCCTGCACCTTCCGGCTCCCCTGCACCTCCCCCGGGGGCAGTTCCCTGAGACAGGCCCTGGTCCTCCCAACCAGCTGGGTGCAGTGTCGGGCCCCAGTGGGGCGGGTGAGTCGGGGGGGCCCACCGTGGCAGGTGTGTGCGGGGGGGGGGGGTGCAGCCCCCCATCCAGTGTGAAGGCTTCCTGTGCAGTGTAGTGTTCCGGACCCCCAGAAGGGGGCAGGGTCCCTGGGCAAAACCAAGGCAGCTGGAGAGACTGGCCTGGCTCCTATTCCAGTGTATGCTGAGGCTCCTCCAGGGCGGTGGGCGTGCGGGGGAGCAGCCGGCCCGCTCAGGGCCCTGCCTCTGGCGCCCACGGGGCCTGGGCACCCACGTCTTTGGTTTGCGCCCTGCAGTCCTGAGGGCCCCCTCGGAAGGGGTTGGCAGGCGGAGAGTCCCAGAAGGGGTCTGAGTCTGGGAACAAGGTCCAGGGTGCCCGGCGGGGCGTAGGCTGTGGCGAGGGCAGGGGCGAAGGCCGTGGCCCGGCGGACACGAAGCTCCACGGGTCAATGCGGCTGCGGAGGGGTGAGGGCCGAGGTCGACTGATGAGGCCCAGAGGCGGCGAGCGCGGGGTCCCTGGGGTTCCAGGAGCGGAGCGTGATATCCCCGGTGGCGGCGAGACGGCGCTGGCTATTCGAGGAAGAGGAGGGGGCCCAGGTCAGGCAGTCACCGGCTCCTGGGTGGCCCCAGGGGGCACTGCCCTGCTCTGGGCCTGTTTCCTCCTGGCACAGTGAGCTCCGGGACTCATGACTTCCACAACACTTCCTGCTCCATGGTGCCTCAACTGAGCAGTTAAGAGTGAGGAGGCCTCTGGAGCAGGCCTTGGATCAACTGAGCTCAGCAGCTTACTAGTGGGACCCTGGAGTCCTTTGACCTCTCTGTGCCGTAGAAGTTACTCAAAAAATGGGTCTAACCGGAGTGTCCAGTTCATAGCATTGTTATCGTATGAATGAAACTACCTCTCTTAAGCACTAGGAATAGTGCCTGGCCCAGGTAAACAGCCAGTAGTTTGCTGGGGTGGTCCTTATTACTTCCATCATTTCACAACCGGCCTGGCCCACCCATGGCTGAACAGAGAACTCAGTTCCCTGCAGTGTCCCCATCACCCCGAGGGCGCAGCTGGAGGTCCAGCAGACAGGGGCGGCCCTGCGGGTCCCCACCAGCCCCTCCTCCCCCGTCACCAGGCAGTAGGCCACTTACCGCGCCTCTCCTCTTCGCGCCGGCGGCTCTTGGCTGAGGGCTGCCCCGCGGCGGGGACACCCAGCTCCAGCAGCAGGGGTGGCGCAGGGGCGGGCGGGCCGGAAGCGTCGGGGCTCAGCGGGGAGGCTGGAGTTTCGGGCGTCTCGGAGGAGAAGCGGATGAGCGGGGAGGGGGGCGGCTCGGCGGGGGACGGGGTGGGCAACGACGAGCGGGGCGGTGTTGGCGAGGGCTGCTCTCCGCGCTCTCGGCCCGAGCCCCCTGGGGGTTGCAAGTCCCGGCCGAGGCCCAGCGAGGCGAGCAGGGCGGTGCCGCGCAGCAGCGCGCGTTGGATCAGCTTGGGTGTCCCGGAGCCACTGCCGCGTTCGGTGAGGCCCGGCCGCCGGGGCTCCTCGGGCTCCGGGCTCGGCCGCGGGAGGTTACCTGGCAGTGGGTACACAGGTTAGGCCGACTTCGGGCAGCCCTGGAGCAAGGGTTGACTTCTGCTCCCCTGACTCCCCCAGTCCAAGTCCTCCCCCGGCACCCCTTTTCTGACTTTTCATTAAGTGTTGGGGGTGGAGGAGGGCAGTGCAACCTTTGAAAGCAGCAGGCTAAGCCAGGTGCCAAGGAGCCCACAGGAGGAGGGCTGGCTGGAGGGAAGGCCCGGGTCCACCAAGAAGCAAGTTCAAGCTAGAGCAGGGCCCGCCTCAGTGCCCTCAACAGCAGGGGGAGGTATCTGCAGGGGCCAGGGTCACAGCTGGGACCCGTGCAGTGCCCATCTCCTCCTACTTGCCTGCTCCAGCCTCCAGTGGTAGCCTGTATAGGCACACAGGCCAATTCCAATGTACACAACAGCCCTAAAGGGACACAACACTGTCCCTATTCCAGAAATGAGGAGATGAGGCTCGGAGAGGTCAGTTGTTTGTGTCAGGCCTGAGCTGAGTGATTTAGGGGCATTACGTTGTCTCAGCCTCATGCCCCAGGGCTTACCTAAGGCTACCCTGCCCTGGATTAAAGGACATGTGTCCTAACCTGTGGACCTAGGGTTAATCTGACTCTATTCTAGACCAAATGGGTGGGTCTGGAGAACCAGGCATCGAGAAGGTAGGGCAGCCTGTGATGGCCCCCCACAAACCCCAATTTTGTCAAGTCCTCCTCAGCTCTAGAACCTGCCATGGCTCTCCACGGCTGCTAGAAGAAAGCCTAAGCTCCTTGCTTGGGCTTTCAGAGCCTCTCTGTCTTCCTTGGGCCTGCCTGGTATGGAGCAGTGGGTGGGGGGTCCAGAGGAAGAAATGCAAAGCTGGGGAAAATGTGAGCTTCTGCAGTGAACCAGGACTTTGCTTGGGGTCGGTCCTCAGCCACTACCCTTACATCATCTCTCTCTCTTTTTTGGCCCCAAGGCTTGTGTGATCTTAGTTCCCTCACCAGGGATTTAACCCGGGCCCTCAACAGTGAGAACATGGAAGTCCTTAACCACCAGAAAGCCAGGGAATTCCACCCCCGACTCCTGCCCCATCTCTCTCTTATCTCCTACCCGCACCCCCCCCCGCCCCCACCCCAGCAGTGGCCACTGCCTTCTAAAATGCAAACCTGCTAAGGACAAGTCTCTCTTAAACTGCTCCCCCACCCCCCCCAACTTCCAGATCCTTCCTGAACTGGCCCCAGCCTGCTGTTTCAGGCCTGTGAGTCCCTGGCTCTCAACTCCTTCAATGAATTTCAACCAGGATTCCTCTTCCTTAGGTCTGGTAAGCCCCACGGTTGCACACATACATTGTTCCCTCCACTCAGCATACCTTCCCACCTCACGCTCAGTAATCGCTTACTTACCATTTAGGACCCGGCTGAGAGATCACAGCTTCTATGAAGCTGTGACGTGACACTGTGGTTTATAAAAAAGTACATATTTGGTTTTCATCTCATTCCTAGTACAAAGCTCCCCAAACCCTTGGAATTTCCATATCTGAGTTAATATTGATGTGGTCTTTTTATTTTGGTAGCCCTGTGCAGCATGAGGGATCTTGGTTCCCTGACCAGGGATCAAACTTGTAACCCCTGCGTTAGGAGCATGCAGTCTTAACCACTGGACCACCAGGGAAGTCCCTGATACAGTCATTGTTGGAGGATGGGGTCCGCCGGGGGAACGAACTCTGTGATTAGAGGGTTGGAACTTTCAGCCTCTACCTGCATCAGGGTAGGAGAGGGGCTGGAGATCGACTCCTATCACCAATGGCCAATGATTTAATCAGTTAATCACATCCATGTAATGAAGGCTTCATAAAAACCCAGCCAAAGGGTTTGGAGAACTGGGTTGGTGAACCAGCAGAGGTGTGTGCCTAGAGGGGGCATGGAAGCTGTGTGCCCCTCCCACATACCCTGCCCTCCACACCTCTTCCATCTGGATGTCCTTGACCTGTATCCTTTATAATAATCTGGTAGTCTAGTAAGTAGATGGTTTTCCTGAGTTCTGTGAGCTCTTCAAGGAAATTATCAAATCTGAGGAGGGGGGTCATGGGAACCTCTGATGTAGAGCTGGTTGGTGAGGAGCACAGGTGATAACCTGGACTTACAACTGATGTCTGCAGTGCAGAGGAGCAATCTTGTGGGCCTGAACCCTTAACCCATGGGGTCTGACGCTAACTCCAGGTAGACGTGTCAGAACTGGACTGGATTGTAGGACTTCCAGCTGGGGTCCCAGAATTGGCCATTGTGGGAAAAACTCCGTATGTATGGTGTCAGTAGTGAAGCAATAGAATGGAGAGGAAAACAAGAGCTTTTTCCTCTTTTAGCAGCTTTGCCAGGGACTCCCTGGTGATCCAGTGATTAAGAATCTGCCTTCCAACGTAGGGGATGGGGGTTTGATCTCCGGCGGAGGAACTAAGATCCCACATGCTGCGGGTCAACTAAGCCTGCACACCACAATGAGAGAAGCCTGTGTGCCACAATGATGACCCAGTGCAACCAAAAAAAAGTTTAAAAAATAAAGTAGAAGCTTTGGCAGAATCCCCTGTTGACCTATGCAGTTCTTGCTCATGCTATGCCTTGTCCAGTCCTTCAGCCTACCACATGCTACTCTCTACTGTACTTGTTTGTTTCTGAGTCTGCCTCCTCCACCAGACTAGGCCCGCCCAGAGGTCAAGGCACTGCTGATCTCTAGCATGATGATGCCTGGCTCATTATATGTGTCAGTACATGTTTGATGGAAGACTCCATTCTTAGAATCCCTGTGACAAGCACATAAGGTGATCGCTGTTCCCCTACTTTACAGGTGAAGAAACTGATCATTTACAGTGAGTTTAAAACAGAACAGGGGAAAAAAAATAAATAAATAAAATTAAAAAAAAATAAAATAGAACAGGGGAAAAATATGTTTAAAACAAGCAAGAAAAATGGAAGAAAGTGAAGCTGGAGATTAGCACACCAACTAAGAATGGAAAGAAGTTACTGAAGTTCATATCCTGAGAAACCGAGGTTCCCAGAAGTCAGAAACTTGCCCCAGGTAACTTGGCAATGATTTTAATTTACCTTTAAATTCCCTGGCAGTAAGAAGTGACAACCCTGTTGTTACGGAGAAAGCAGAAAAACCATTCTTGACTCAGAGATGAAGGTGAAATCACTTCTACAGGGTCTCATGGAAAGGACACGGCCATGTGGTAGTTGGTGGCTCCAGGGAAAATGCTTCATGGGGCAGTTGCTGGCAGACCATGCCCACCAATCTATTACAACCAGTTCCCCAGGGGCCAGCACACCCAGGCAGGGACTGGGGTGGGAGATGCGACTCCCCAGTGGTGTGGCTAATGCCTGGGACAATCTCTCAGGGACATCTTTGATTCTTACCTAGATTTTTGACTCTCTAGGTGGTTGGGAGGTCAAGATCACTCACTTGTGAGTGGGCCAAGACAGCTGGATGAGGGCTTGCACACGTGAAAACAGATGCTCAGCCAGCAGCTGGGCTGGGACAAGTGATATCCTTTCAGGTAAGGGGGCAAGCTGGAGAAAGATGAGGTCCCTGCTCCTGGGAGCCCAGGGAAGATAAGGCCAAAGGGATCTGAAGGGATCTGTAGACCATGGTCAGGGGCTGCTTCGGCCTGCACATCCAGCTTGACAGGACCTCATGTTCTCCAATGAGCCTTCTGGCCTGGGGCATTCTAGAGCAGGTGACTCCAAGCAGTCCCCCTGGCCTTCCAATTCTCAATTCAGTCCCTGCAGCACAGCCCGCTTGAGGCAATGCAACTCCTGAAGCAAGAAGTGGCATGGCAGATAGGGGTCCAGGGCCCGGCCTCTGGAGTCAGTGAAAGTTTTGCAACCCCATGGACTATACAGTCCATGGAATTCTCCAGGCAAGAATACTGGAGTGGGTAGCCTTTCCCTTCTCCAGGGGACTTCCCCAACCCAGGGATTAAACCCAGGTCTCCCGAATTGCAGGTGAATTCTTTACCAGCTGAACCACAAGGGAAGCCCTGGGCTCAAATCCCTGTTCTGCTGTGTGTCCTACTTCAAATCACTTTACCTCTCTGTGCCTCAGTTTTCTCCTCTATAAAATGGCACACAGGAGGGACCCAATAAATGTCTGCTGTTGTTATTACTGCGAATCCTAGCTTAGGTAATGGTGGAGGTGATGCATTGGGTGGGGTGAGAGGAGTGAGTCTAACTTGTTTGTTGAATAGGACTCTGGTCTGATGACAGCTAAGTCAGGTCCTATATTCTGGCTTTGAGAAGCAGGTGCAGCTGGGGGCTATAAAGGGACCCTTGGGCAAAGGAGGCTGCAACTTTCTAGTCCCTGCCAATGCTGGGCAGTGCTGAGATGAGCCTTGCCTCTCTGACCCGGGATCCCTGCTTTCTGCTGACCCCCTAGCTTCCCAAGTAGCTTGTAGGTGAGAAACTCCTTCTTTAAGTGAAAGCTTCTGGGGAAGCTCACTATAAGCATCAGTGTCAACATTTTCCTGGGTTCAGATCCTTACCTGGGGGATTTAAGTAGATTACTTTGTCTCAGAGCCTCAGTTTTCTCATTTCTCAGATGGGTATAATAACCCCTCATGGGGTTGTTGCTTGAATGGAATACCTGATACACAGTAAGTGCTGTGGCCATTATGGAAAACAGAAGAGCCCAGAACTGCCCCAGATGCAGTGATACCCTCATGTTCAGCTTTCTTATCCTCTTTTCCATCTCCAAGCTCCCCAGAAAGGACTCTGAGAAGCACAGAGCGGTAGCCACTTTTCTAACTCCACCCCACATGCACAATTTCCTTCCCCTCTCTGCGTCCAGCTTCCTTTGGGTCCCCAACGGGGGGCAGTGTTCCTTGTCTTCCTTCCCTCCCTAGAGCTTGCTGAGGGCACAGCAGCTGATGCAAGCCCAGGCAAGAGCCTGCTTGCAGGCCAGCCCTGCACAATGGGACCACTCTGGGCCCCCTGAGGCCTAGGTGGGATCCCCCTCAGCTGTGGGCTTATAGGTCAGACCTGGGTTCTAGCAATGGCCTGCCTCACCACAGTATCCACAGGAGTGCAGCAACATTTGGCTGGGGGCAGACAAGGCCACTCACCATTGAGCATTGGGGGTGTAGAAGGAGATCCTAGTGGGGATGAGTCATCTGAATCCAGGTACCACGTGGCTTCGTCCATGCGGGACCTTCTCCTGGTGAGGGGGATGAGAAGGGGAGTTGTGCTTCGTGAATCTCAGGATTGTTGGGAGGCAGGAGCCGCTGGGTGGGTGGCAGTCAGGCACTCACCTCCCGTTCTGGGCTTCTCCCGGCTTGGGGGAGCTGGGACCCCAGGCCCAGCATGCTCGGCGCTCTCCATTGCTTGAGTCCTCTAGACGTCTCGGGGACTGTCGGCCCCACGCCTGGCCTGGTTCTGCAGGCTCCACTGTGGTGGGTGAGGTGAGGGGGGGAACCGAAGGAGTCTGAGTCAAGATCAAAGACCCTGATCCTTGTCCTCCCATCGTAAGAACTGGGCTCCAGGGGCAACTTCTTGGAGGATGGGGAGCGGATAGTCAGGCTGGGCCCCATCCCATTCCTGTGGTAAGCTTTGGGCTTACAGAGAAATCACACAGAACTGGGGTGGGGTAGGTGAGTGTGGGTCCTGGGACTGGCAGTGGGGCATCTCTAGTCCTTCAGCTGGCATTTGCCGCTTAGGAGTTAGCACAGACACTGCCACTTATCAGCTATGCAGTATTAGGCAGTTACTTCTTTCACTTTTCTCATCAGTAAAACCTAGGTAATAGTAAAGATATCTACCTCACAGGGTCATTGTGAGGAATTAATATTAGCAACTGTTAGTCACTCAGTCGTGTCTGACTCTTTGTGACCCCATGGTAACCCATCAGGCTCCTCTGTCCACGGGATTCTTCAGGTGAAAATACTGGAGTGGGTTGCCATTCCCTTCTCCAGGGGATCTTCCCAATTCAGGGATCGAACCTGGGCCTCCTGCACTGTGGGCAGATTCTTTTTAGGCTCTGAGCCACCAGTGAGTGACACCCTAATATTAGCAAAGCACTTAGGAAAGTGAATGGTACATAGCATCATACAATTGTTAGAAAAAAAAGTTGTAAAATGACTGCTACTTGGTGAACTTAGAGATACCAGTTTAGATGGATGGGGAGGGAGCCTGGGATCAGGGAGAAGAGGAGGAGACAGTGCGAGGGATCCACTTCCAAGGATAAGGTTTAACAAAAGGGTAAGATCTGGGGAGAAGGACGTGGGCAAGAGAAGTTGCTTACACTGGATGGCCCGGAACCGGGGGAAGGTGGGAGAGTCCCCAGCCCCGACCTCGAAGACGTTCCTCCTCCTGTCCAGGCCAGGCGAGGCCTGCACGGTGATGCGGTGTTTGAAGTCTAGGGTTGTGGGGAGGGAAGCAGGGTGCAGGTTTGTGGTGAAGAAGAGACAGGATCCTAACTCACAGGGCCCCTCGGCAGTGCCGAGGCCACGCAGGCAGTGCTGGAACCCGGCCTAGCACGGCGGCTAGGTGACTGGGGCCGGCCTCACTGGCTTCCTGAGCCCCTGGCTATCGTTAAGGAAATCCCCAAACCCTGGGAGCGCCGCGAAGTAGGAGTGCCCACCCGGCGCCCTAGGCCTTCCCAGAACCTTCATGAGCCCCGCCCCTTCCCGGCCGCAGCCACTCCCAGGCCGACATGCAAATATTCCCGCCAGAACCCGCCCACAGACAAAAACACACTCCTGGTCCCACCCCTTCCAGCCTCCGCTCACAGGCCCACCCACCGACACCCTAGGCCAATCCCAGCGCGGTCAGCCACCCGCCTGGTCCCGCCCCACCGCCCGCGAAGCCAATGGCGGGCGGCGCGCTGGGGCCCTGCCCCTTACCGAGTGGCATGCTGATTCGCTCCCCGCCGTCGCGCGCGCGGAGTTTGCTGCGCTTGAAGGTTCCGCGTCGGCGGCGAACGTGCGGCCGCTCGCGATCGACTTGCTGCAGTAACAGCGTCAACTCTCGCTCAAACACCTCCAGCTCCCACTGAGCCAGCAGGTGCTCGCGCCGCCGCAGCTGCTCTGCTTGTGAGCGCTGCTCACGCGCCGCGCGGGTCAGCTCCTCCTCGCGGCTCAGTAGTTCCTGTGTCCAGGACAGCCAAGGCGGTGGCGTCAGGCGGGTACGGTCCCAGGCGCTCATCCCCACCCTCCGTGAGACGTCCCTTCCCGGCGTCTCCTTCCAACCCTGGGACCGCGACTCCTCCCACCTTTTCTTTGGCCCGCAGCTCGTCGAAAAGCCCTTGGATCTCGCGCTTCCAGCCTTCCTGCATGGAATGGAAGGAGTCCCGCGGCATTTCCCGTAGCACCTGCGCCTCCAGCGCCTCCAACTGCTGAAGGATGGAGGCGAAGTCGGGCCTGCGGTGGGGGTCCTGCGCCCAGCAGTCTAGGGAAACGGAGTGGGGGCAGCGGGGGGGGGGGAACAGGGGAAGGGGTCTGTGAATAGATATGTCCTGTTGGGTCAAGGAGCTCTACCCTTCACCCACCTGCCCCATCCCCTTACCGGCCATGAGCTGTGCGAAGGGCTCCGGGCAGGTGGATGGAATGGGCAGTGTGAGCTTGTTCACGGCCACACCATAGGCTACAGCAAGGCAGTCGATGCCACGATAGGGTACCTCCCCAGTCAGCAGTTCCCACAGCAGCACCCCAAAGCTGTGGGTGAGACAAAGGGTTTGTGTTCCCTCCTCGACTCATTCATTGCCATTTCACCCCAAAGCAACCAAGAGCTAAGTGGTCTATGTCCCTCCCCTGGCCTCTGCTTATCCATCCAGCCCTAGATTTTGGCTGCCACCTCTCCCACCCCCGCGGCCCCATATCTGTCCAGACTCCACCCAGCCGCACCTCCAGACATCGCTGCCTTTGGAGAAGGTGGAGGCCTTGATAACCTCAGGAGCCATCCAGGCATAGGTGCCCGCAGCACTCATTTGCGTGGTTTTGTGCCACTCACGGGCCAGGCCGAAGTCAGTGATCTTCAGGGTCTTGTGCTCCATGTCATCACCTTCAATAGGCTGCAGCAGCAGAACTGGGGAAGAGAGGCTGGACTGTGGTTCCAGGCTCAGGTGGTGGGGACAGGGGAGGAGCTGGGAGCAAACTGTCATCTGACAGACATCCTGGCTAGGTACTGGGGCACTGAGGTGACTTGGTCTCAACCTTGCCCTGGAGAGTTCATATCTGGGGTTGGGATAGAATGAGACAATAAACACAAGGCTGGGACATATTTATCAAGGGTGGGCTCCAGTCCTTGGTGTTGCAGAGGGTCAGCCACGATTTAGCGACTAACAGTTCACTTCAGTAATTAGGACTCCGCACTTCCACTGCAGGGGACACAGGTTCGATCGCTGGTCAAGGAACTATGATCCCACATGCCCTTGGCTCAACCAATAAATAAATAAGTAAATTGTAAGATTTGGGAAGATTTCCCAGAGGAAGTGCCATTTAAGTTGAGACCAGAGTGAGGAGTTGGCCTCAACTAGGCGATGCTGGGGGTTCAATCCCATGAACAGAGGAGCCTGGTGGGCTCTAACCCTTGGGCTTGCAGAGGGTTAGACACAACTTAGTGACTAAACAGCAACAACAAAGACATCATTATCCTCATTTTGCAGAAGAGGAAACTGAGCAACAATTTGACTTAACCAAGGTCATAAGCAAACAAAGCAGGAATCACACACAACCTGGTATGCGTGGTTCCAAAGCCAGTGCTCTAACTTTCCCCTAACCCTGCGCAGAACAGAAATGGGCAATATGGCAGCCTCTCAGCATTCGTGACTGATATCAAAAGAAATCTGTGTGTTGCCATTTTGTTGAGGCAAGAGTGTGACTTAGAACCTCCCTGGGGGTGGGGAGCAGGAGGGAACTGTCTGGTGAGAAAGGAAGCCCAGCGGGCACTATAGACCCCTGGTGCCCATGTCCCACTGTGGCTAGCACAGCCATTTCCAGAAGAGAGAAAGACTCCAAAAGATATCCACTGATGTGGCTAGATGTGAGAGACGAAGGGGTCTAAGGGTGGTTGTTGACTAAAACGGAGTTTGGGACAAATGTAGGAGTGGATGGACACAGCAAGGCTCATGGCTTTGTCCCTCATGGGGCCACCATACCCTGGACACACAAGAAAGCCAGCAACTTGCAAATGTCTCACCAGGACAAGCATGGATCAAAGGAAAGAGGTTTTAAAGGAAAAAAAGGAAGGCAAAGTCAGAGGATCTTTGAGGGTCTGAAGAGGACTCTACTTTTCTGGTTATAGTCAACTGTATTGTACAAAAGGGACATCGAAGCCAACGACATTTCTGAACACATATCCTTTCAGGGCACTGCTGCTGCTGCTGCTGCTGCTAAGTCGCTTCAGTTGTGTCCAACTCTGTGCGACCCCACAGATGGCAGCCCACCAGGCTCCTCCGTCCTTGGGATTCTCCAGGCAAGAACACTGGAGTGGGCTGCCATTTCAGGGCATACCTCTCAGCAATCCTGCCCAGGGTGACAGCACCACAGAGGGGGCAGCACAGGGTATTGGGGTTGGGGCAGAGGAGACAGGCACCTCATACAGGTGAGTCAGGGAAGACTTCTCAGAAGTGGCGGCATGACCAGGGTATTCACTTTTTTAGGCCTAAAGCCACAACTCCTGATCCTGCTGCTGGCCAACCTCCCTGGGCCTCATGGGGGCATCTGGCACTGCTGCTCAGCCCCTCCCTGCTGTCCTTGGCTCCCAGGGCCTCTGGCTGCTTGTGCTGTTTCCTTCAGGCCTCCCCACCCTTAGCCTTTTCAATGCCGGTGTTTCTCAGAGCCTGGCCTCCCCTTGACCTCGGCCTACTGCCTCCAGGCTGTCCTGGCCTCTCCTAGGTGCCAGCTGCCCCCTCCTCATTGGCATCTCCTGTATGTGGAGCCCTCATTCAGAAATGGGTCCAGCTGCCCAGCTGTCACCCTACCTGGTCTCCATGCCCTCAACCACCACCTACGTCCTCCCACCGTGCCTGGCAAATCTTCCTGCCCTGTCCCCAAATTCAGAGAATGGTCCTGCAACCTACCCTCTCCTCTGAGCCAAACTGGGGCTGACTCCTGAACAGTTAAAGCTGAGGATGACAACAAAAGCCAGAGGATCATCATGAATATTAAACAAGACCATGCTTTTTAAAGCTTTCACACAAGGATCGGACGGTTGTTCCAAAGATGCTACCGTGAATCTCAAGTTGACTCTCCTCTTCATCTACTACCACATCTTATTCCCAGCTTCACAACAGCCTCTGGCCTGGCTGTTGGAGTGTCAGAAAGGGACCATTTAGTAAGCCCTGTGAATATCCATTCCAAAGAACCGCAGCAGGCTGGGGCGGGTGGCTGGAGAGAGACCAGGCAAAGGGGTCCATGTGCTGGGGTTGGGGAGGGACTCCCACCTCCTCTGGTGCCAGGACCCACCCATCCTCTTGAAGACCAACCCCTGCTACTTCTCCGTCAGGTCTCTAGCCACCCGTGGTACCTCACGGACTGGTGAAGCACTTTCTGCACCAGTATCTCAAGCTGGGAGGCCAGCCTCCCTTTTGCAGTCAGGTCATCTGAAGCCCAGAGAGGGGTGGGAACCCACTCAGAGTCTCAGGACTCCTCTGTACTGGTGCCTTTTCTGCTACCCCCGTCCCCAGTTAACCTGACACCTGTGAGGCCTTAGCCTCCCCTCCGTGTCCCTGCTTTTCTCCAACGGCCTTGAACTTGTTCCAACCCAAGCTGCTCTTCTAGTGTCTGATATAGACCTCGAGGATGGGGTCATCAGGGGTCACTCAGAGAAAGCTAGAAATGCCCCTCCCAGCACCCCCTTAGGGCTCCCTGACTCTGAAAAGGGACCTGGCCCCCAGCCCCTCCCTAGACTGCCTCCGGGGAGCCCGGGAGTGGCCTCTGCAGCTCACACCTCTTCCGCTTCCCTGCCATGGTCCCTACTTCTCCTTTCTGGGAGATCTGGCCCAGGTCTCCAATGGCGGTGGGGGGGGGGTCCTTTGGGGGAGAATTGGGGGAGGTCAGGTCCAGGCTGGGCTGGCTGGTCAGTCCTGTGACTCGTGGGCCTGGAGAATTCCCCCTCCTCTCCCCGCCAGGCTTCCTCACAAGGCCCCCATTGTCCAGGAAAATCACGCCATTGTTTCCTGCCTGCGCCCCCCCAGCCCAGGGACTCCCCCCCCACAATGCCGCAGATAGCACCCCGGGCCTAGAACTGGGGGTCTGTGAGGTGGGAGCCCAGCCTCAGGGAGGCTAAGGGCACCCTTCCTGCCCTTCACCACCACCCAGACTCAGGGAGGAAAGCAGGGAACTGGGGGGAGTGGGGGTGCCATCCCTGGCTCCTTCCTCTCCCACAAACCCCCCACCCCCAACTCTTTCCTCCCCTGCAGGCAGCTGGGCTGGGGAGAGAGCAGAGACTGGAGCAGGGGCAGGAAGCCGGCTCAGGGGCAGCAGGAAACGCAGGAAGCGGTGGGGAGGGTGGGGAGCAGGGGCCTGGGCTATTGTTCCATTTTTTCTGGAAAGAAAACTGGAGGAAAAACAGAAGACTGGAGTCCCCTCCCCCCAGGCCTTCGGGGAATCCCCCTCAGGCTGGGGCAGGGAGTGAGGGTCCCTAGATGGCTGGGGCTCAGGAGTGCAGCTGAGCACTGGGACCTGCACCCTATTGTGGATGAGAGGAGTGGGTGGGGTGGCTGGCAGACCTCCTGAGGCCCCTCCAGCCCTGGAAAAGACTTGGGTATCACTGAGCCCTGGTGTTCTGCTCCCCACAAGCCTCTGATCCATGGTCAGCCCAGGCCGGGAGGCTCCAAATATCCACGCTCACCCCTCCACGGGCGACCCGTGGTTCTCCAGTGGCCCTGTCGGCCCCTCCTCTTGCTTTTCAGTCTGCACCTTGGGCCCCAGCAGGTCCACCCACATCCCTAGCACCGTGATGGGTGCTGCCTCCTTGACTTTGCTCTCATCAGGCCCTGCCAGGACATCCAACTGGGTGCCTCTCTGAACATGCCCTGCTCTGGGCCAGGTGTGAAGCTTGCCTGCTTCAGGAAGCCCTCTGAACCTGTCACTTGCTTCTCTCAGGCCCATGCTGGGCCGTGAGTAGGACCTGAAATGGCTGGAGATAGAGTGCCTCAAGTCTTCTTAGCCCTGCCACGCCCACTCCAAGTGCTGATTCCAGGCAAAGCCCTCCTGGCGATCCAGCCTTCAAACATCCACACCCATGGCTGACACCCACCGCATGCTGGGCATTGGGTGCTCAAGGATTAAGCCCTTTCATCCTCCCAATCACTCGCTTTTTACAGAGTGAAATCGAAGCTCTGAGCTGAAATAACCAGCTAGAGAGAGTGCAGCCAGGGAAAGGAGTAGGGTTAGAGTTCCATCCCTGGCCCCAGCTTTGACCACCACGGGGTGCGGAAGCAGGGAGGGGCTTTTCCCTTTGCGATGTCTATTCTGGAGAAGCTACCCACCACAAGTGGAGGAGAGGAGGCACCCGCAGGACAAGTGGGCACTCCCTGAAGATGAAAGGTGCCAGGATCCAGCACACCCTTCCTTGAGGTAGTGGCCATGGTTAGGCAGGTTGCTTACGGTCCTCCCGAGAGATTCCAAATTTTTAACTCGGCACCTGTGAGCTGGGGTCAAGGCTGCCTCCTGGGGCTGGGGCGTAAAGGACTCTTGGGTGCCTGGGACTCTTGCTTTGGGGCTAGTGTGAGCCCAGGGGCACCCCTGGTCAACTGAGATGCTCCTAGAACAGTAGCTCCTGCCTCTAGTAGATCCCCAGGTAGGCTCAGCTGCGAGCTGGCAGTAGGTGTGCGCTCAGGCCATGCCACCCTCCAACCACGCTCCCCAAAACTCACTGTTGTTGGACTTGAGGTCTCGGTGGATGACAGGCACCAGGGCCTCGCAGTGCAGGTAGTGCATCCCACGGGCAATTTGCACAGCCCAGTTGACAAGCACATGGGGGGGCACACGCCGGCCAGCCAGGGCACGGCTGAGGGGCCCACCGGCAGCGTACTCCATCACCAGGCACAGGTTGGGCTCCTCCAGGCACACGGCCTTGAGGGCAATGATGTTGGGGTGCGCCAGCATGGCGAAAAGCCGGGCCTCCTGTCGCACACTCTCAGCTGTCACGCTGATGTCCTCGTCCGGGTCCTGGCGGGCAGCCTTCACAGCCACCAGCTCGCCCCGCCAGCTGCCCCGGTAGACCTTGCCGAAGCCACCGATGCCAATCACCTCCTCCAGCCGCAGCTCCTGGAAGCTGGCCATCTCGCAGGGGGGCGGACCGCCGCCCCGAGACACATAGTTGGACGGAAAGATGCCCACCTGGCCGCCCACCTGGCCCGCCCACCAGCCCTCATCGCCTGAGATAGCTGCATCCCGGGATAGCACCTCCACACGGTCGCCCTTCCGCAGGGCCAGCTCGTCCTGCCCGCTGGGCTCGTAGTCAAACAGGGCTGTCCACACAGGGTTAGCATAAGCTGCCGCCTTCGGGGACCCCTCTGGCCAACCTCCGCCGCCGCCCCCGCTGCCCCCACTGCCACCGCTGTTCCATGACCCCAGTGGGCTCTTGAGGAAGAGGTTCTTCAAGGGCTCCATGGCTGGGAGCTGGCGTTGGTGGGTGTGGGGGACCTTCCCTGGGTGCCCCTGGTCCCCACCCCTGCTGACCGTCGAGGCCCTAGTCCCGGAACCTGGGCATCCGGGCCCTGGCCCTCAGCCCCAGACCCACGCCTCTCTGGGGATCCAGGAGTGTCGCCTCCCGGCCCCCTGCATCTCGGGCTTCCGGAGGAAGGCCACCCAGGGCAGTGTGGTCAGGCTTGGGGGGTGGGCCCCCAGGGCCTCCGGTGTCTCACCATGGCCGGCACAGAGGGGCCCCGGCGTCCCTCAGTCTGGAGCAGTCCTGGGAGCCTGGCTCCAGCACCCCACGAAGTGTAAGGTGGGGCCAGCAAGGGGCAGCGCCTGGACTCTGGTTGGGTCTCCTTGCGAAGGGGCTGGCTGGAGTGTCTCTTGTTGGGGTTAGCTCTCTTCCTGGCTGGGCTCTCTCGACCCGAAGTCTCCAACCCCGTTCCCTTCTTCCTCCTCCCTTTGTACTTTGGCCCCGGGGGCGGGAGGCAGAGGTGGAGGGTGGAGTTTCACTTTTTTCCGCTGTTCTCCCTCCCGCAGGAAACAGCATCAGATGACGCGGGCGGGTAGCACCGCTCCCCTCCCAGAGGCTGCGGGGCAGCTGGGCCGGGGAGTTCCCGGGTAGGCGGGCAATGAGAGGCCGACGGAGGGGAAGGGTAGCCCCCACCTCCCATGACATCAGGTTCAGGGTCGAGTTGGTTTCTGCTAACGACGGGCCATCTCTCCCCTCTACATCCGCATCAGGAAAACTCGGGCAAAGAACCTGGCTTGGGAAGGGGACAAACCCGAGTTTGGTCTTGGCTCCGAAGCTGCAGGGCTGTGTGATCCATCTTCTCTGCGCCTCATTCTCTTTGCATCTGAAATTGGGGCCAGAAGGTCAGCTTTGCAGACCTAGTGGGATGGGCCGTGGGGGGGAGGGGGCGGTTAAGACGAGGAGGACGGAACTGGCTGCACCTCGAGCTCTTGAAACGAGTTGTCAGGTCCTCCTTTCCCTCACCTGGGAAACCACTTATTTATTCCTCTTCCCCATGAAGGGGCGGAAACCTGAGACTGTGGTCCCGAAATGTGCGCAGTGACTGGATTCAGAATAGCCAAACCGCACTCGCAACCGCATGATTGACCCCTTGATTGCCTTGAGCCTGTCACTTTAAGACAAACGACGATATCCTACTTCGACTATTTCTGCCTTTCTGGCGGATCGCTCTCTACAATCTTAAGTGTGAGCTCTGACCCGGAAGTAGAAGCAGCTCATGACGTCTGAGGTCCCGCACTAAATAGGTGGGACCTAAAGGGGGGTGTGCCCCCGTTGCGCCGAACTGTAGCTTTAGCTCAGGCAGGTCCACGCCTCCATCCTTTTCCCCGGCTCTTGTAACTCACTGGGAGAGTTTTGCGCCAATTAATTCCGCCGTTACTCGATGGCCACTCAACTATCCCTTGGGTTCCGCCCAGTGGTCTTCGCTAGGCTGGCAACTTTCAGGTGTGCGCATGCGCCCAAGGGCTTTTGCTTTTCGGCCCGCCCCTTCCCTTAGACCCGGACTCTGCGCAAGCCCGAAGGGTTCCCTGGCTTCTTATCGCTCCACCATCTCCCTGCGCTTGCGCATTCAAGCCGCCAGGTTTTCCTTTTCCGGGTCCCAACTTGGCTCGTTGGGCGCATGCGCCACTGCAGGTTGGCGGCTCGTAGCTCCTTCTTCCGGCCTCCCCCTTGGGCCGGCTCCCGCAGAAACGGGGCGAGCGCGGAGCCCAAAGCGAGTGACCTGTGACCCCGGAAGTGGACCTCAGGGTCCCGGGGCTTTCCCCCGGCCGGAACCGAAGTAGCCGTCGCTGCACCCCCGGAGCACCCACCCCACGCCCACCTCTGGATGCCGCCGACGGGTGCCCGGCCCGTGCCCCGCGCCTGCCTGCCGGCCCGGCCCTCGGGAGCAGTTCTGGGGCGGGGGTGGGGGCCAGGACCCCGCCTCTGATGCGGCTCCACCCCCACGCCTGGGTCTCACACCGCTGACTGCCCGGCCGGCCCCGCCCCCTGCTCGCACCCTCGCCCCTCAGACCTCTCTCCCCCGTAGGGGGGGGACCATGGCGTGAGCGCGAGGCCGGGCCCCGGGGCCCTCGGGCGCCAGGCGGGGCATGGGTCAGGGGCCGCCCCCATGAGGGTCCCGGGAGGAGGGCGCGCGCAGCAGCGGCGGGGCCATGGGGTCGCAGGTATTGCAGATCCTGCGCCAGGGGGTGTGGGCCTCGCTCACCGGCGGTTGGTTCTTCGACCCGCACCAGAGCACCTTCTCCAACTGCTTCCACCTCTATGTTTGGATCTTCCTGCTCACCTTCCCTTTCTTGCTGTACATGGTGAGACGCTACCGCCACCTGTAACTCCTGCCGGGGAAAGGGAGGGCAGATGTCACCAAGGGGTGCAAACTGACAGGGACTCCGGGCTGTGGGAAGGGGACTCACTGCAGAGTTCAGAGTGTGTAGAGGAGAGGCCAGAATTTTCTGGCCAGGGTGACCTTGAGCCCCTCACTTAATTTCTGTCCAGTTAGTAGAGAAAAGATAAGGTCTTTGTACTGGTTGTATGCAGGGGCGGGGAAGTCTTCTTGTGAACTTGTGAATCCTAGCCTTGATGGCGGCGGTAGGTCCACCCTTTGTGGGAGCAGGGATCTGTGAAGAATGACCTGACTTGCTGCCACCTCCAGGTCCTGCCCCCCAGCTTGCTGGTGGCTGGTGTGTACTGCCTTGTGGTGGCTGTCATCTTCGCTACCATCAAGACTGTGAACTATCGGCTGCATGCTATGTTCGACCAGGGCGAGATTGTGGAGAAGCGCAACTCTACCATGGGGGATCCAGAGGAAGAGCCTGCCCAGGGGGACAGCAATCTGCCCAGGTGGGCGAGGCAGGGCCTGTGCTGGAAATGGAGGGTTCTTGGTGCTTGGGCCTTGGCATTGGAAGATGGAGAGGGGGCTCAGGGAGCATTGCATCCAAGAGTCGTTGAATATTCCTTGATTGGCTCTGGATTTGTCAGGGGAATCGACATGGAGGGATGAGTGATGGGGATGGTGGGAGAGGTGCTGTGTGAAGAGGGAAGGTTAGCTCGAAACTGATGTTCCTGTGCACTGCTAGAGACCCTGGAGTGGAGATGACTGTATTTCGAAAAGTGAGTTCCACGCCCCCCGTACGCTGTAGCTCTCAGCATTCCGTGTTTGGCTTCAACCAGGTCTCGGTGAGTGGTGCTGGCCCTCAGCCTCCCCTCCTCCTCTCCTGGGAACCTGTTCCCCGTGTGGGTATGTCCTGCACCTACTTTTTTGCCCTGTTGGCTCCTTCAAACGTTTCTCTTCCCCACTCAGGAGTTGCTGCCCCGGATAGAGGACTCCGGGCCCCTCCGAGGTAGGTGGCTGCTGTTGGGGGCTGAGGTGGTGGTGCAGAGCGGGGCCCAGCACGTCGATGCCTTGAGGTGCCGCTAACGCGTCTGGGGCTGTGCTTGTAGACATCAAGGAGCTGGTGCGGGAGCAGGGCAGCAACAACGTGATCGTGACCTCGGCCGATCGAGAGATGCTGAAGCTGAGCTCACAGGAGAAGCTGAGTGAGTGGTCATGATTGGCAAGGGCTTGGGGAGAAGACCAGCTGTCATGTCTTTGAGTCACCCTCACCTTTGCTTCCTGGGGCTCTCTTGGTCCTCTGAGATGGGGCCTCAGTGTCCCGCCCCACTGAGCTCTCAGAACTCGGGGCCATAGGACCGTCTCAGCCATCAGTTCCTGCTAGAGAACACCTTTCTTTAGTCCTGTGTCGCCTTCTCTTCTGACAGTTGGAGACCTTCCCCAGACGCCTCCAGGGGCCGCCCCGGACCCATCTCTCCCCAGCACGGACTCCTCAGAACGTTCTCCCCTGGCTGGAGACGGAGCCCCGTGGAGTGGCGGCAGTGTGGCTGACACTCCCATGAGCCCCCTCCTGAAGGGCAGCCTCAGCCAGGAGCTTAGCAAGAGCTTCCTGACCCTAACCCGGCCTGAGCGGGCCCTGGTGAGGACCAGCAGTCGACGGGAACAGCGCCGGGGAGCGGACGGCTACCAACCCCTGGACCGGCGGGGCTCGGGGGACCCCACACCCCAGAAAGCTGGCTCCTCAGATTCCTGCTTCAGTGGCACTGACAGGGAGACGTTGAGCAGCTTCAAGAGTGAGAAGACCAATTCGACCCACCTAGACAGCCCCCCTGGCGGGCAAGCCCCCGAGGGCAGCGACACAGACCCCCCCTCGGAGGCAGAGCTGCCCGCCTCCCCAGATGCTGGAGTCCCCTCAGATGACACGCTCCGCTCCTTTGACACCGTTGTAGGAGCAGGGACGCCGCCTGGCCCGGCTGAGCCGCTCCTGGTCGTGCGGCCCAAGGACTTGGCGCTGCTCCGGCCCAGCAAACGGCGGCCGCCCGTGCGGAGACACTCCCCCGCCACCGGCCGGGCTCCTCGGCGGCCGCTGCTGGAAGGCCGGGGCTTCTTTGAGGATGATGACACCAGCGAGGGCAGTGAACTGAGCCCAGCCTCCAGTCTCCGGTCCCAGCGCCGCTACAGCACCGACAGCTCCTCCTCCACTTCATGCTATTCCCCTGAGAGTTCTCGGGGGGCCGCCGGGGGAGCCCGAAAACGACGGGCCCCCCACGGGGCTGAGGAGGGGATGGCTGTGCCCCCCAAGCGGCCCTATGGGACCCAGCGGACGCCTAGTACTGCCAGCGCCAAAACGCACGCCCGCGTGCTGAGCATGGACGGAGCAGGGGGGGATGTCCTGCGGGGTCCCCTGGCGGGCTCCAAGGCTGAACTGGAGGCCCAGGCGGGGGTGGAGCTGGCTGCCGGTGAGCCCGCTGTGCTGCCTGCCGAGGCCCGCAGGGGGCCTGCTGCCAACCAGCCTGGCTGGCGTGGGGAGCTGCAGGAGGAAGGTGCGGTGGGGGGAGGTGAGTGCCAGTTGGAGAGGGTGGGCTGTGGAGGGGCGGGGGTTGGGGCAAGGGGCAGCTGGAGCGGGGCCTACTCAGCCTCCGGCAGCAGGTGAATGTGGACACAGCTGTCGAGCGACGTTGTCTGCCCGGCTGAGCGGAGGGGAGGCTGAGGCAGAGACCTCAGGCACCTGGCTCCAGTCCTGAAGTTAGCACTTGAGCTTCTTTTTGAGGTCTCTGTGTAGCCACGTTCATTCTTCTGGGCCACCAGCAGAGCGGAGCAGGACGTGTCTTTATTCCCAGATATGGAAACTGGCCTGAGTGGTTAGGTGACCTGGAGGGGTCACAGAGCCAGGATATGGTTGCACTAGACCTGACCTTTAGCTCCACACAGGAGCACCTGCATCTCCCTGCCGCCCGCCCCCAGGCTCTGTTCGCTTCTTTGTCACTTACACTGGGGGGGCCTCTCTCTGGGCAGCTGCCGAGGAGACTGGCAAGCGGGACCGCTCAAGCAGCGTGAGGCGGGCACAGGCCATCCGGAGGCGGCACAATGCTGGCAGCAACCCCACCCCCCCGGCCTCCGTCATGGGCTCGCCCCCCAGGTGAGCACCAGCTGGCTGCCTGGGGTGGGGGAGTGGGGGCCCCCTGGCTCTGAGTGCTGCTGACAGCCCATGGGCTGCCCCCTCCCCAGCAGCCTGCAGGAGGCTCAGCGGGGCCGCGCGGCCTCCCACTCCCGGGCTCTGACACTGCCCTCGGCCCTGCACTTTGCCTCCTCGCTGCTGCTCACCCGGGCGGGCACCAACGTGCATGAGGCCTGCACCTTTGATGACACCTCTGAGGGTGCTGTGCACTACTTCTACGACGAGAGCGGTGAGCCCCTCCTTTCGTCCAGTGGCCAAGCCTTTGGCCCAGCCTCCCAGCGCCCCCCCCCCCCCCCCGCCTAAGGTCATCATCCCTGGAATTGCAGCCTTGGTGCCCCAGGGCTGGGCTGCCATCTGGAGACCCGAGCACACGGTTTTCCGCAGGGGGGTTGGGCCTCAGTGCTCCTGTCCCTGACGGGCCGCCTTGTGTCCCACGCCTGTCTGTGCCCCAGGTGTGCGGCGTTCCTACACCTTTGGCCTGGCTGGAGGCGGGTATGAGAACCCCGTGGGGCAGCAGGGGGAGCAGGCAGCCAATGGAGCCTGGTAAGTCCAAGCTCAGGCTCTCCCAGCCTGGCGGCTGGTGAGCTGTTATTTCTGGGAAGTTTTCTCCCTTCCTTCTTTGGGCAGGAGCAGGGGTAACTCAGACCTCCAGGAGGAGAGGAGGGTGGGTGGCAGCGAGGGGCATGGAGGGGAGAGGGGCAAGCCTGCAGGGATCCTTTGGGTCCCTGGCTCCACGGCACTTCCAAGCACGAGGCTCCAGGACCTTCTTGGAGGCCCAGGGTCTGGGAGGGAGGCCCTCTGTGACCTGTCTTCTCTCTCTTTTTTTTTTTTCATTTACTTTTATTAGTTGAAGGCTAATTACTTTACAGTATTGTAGTGGGTTTTGTCATACATTGACACGAATCAGCCATGGTTTTACATGTATTCCCCATCCCGATCCCCCCTCCCACCTCCCTCTCTACCCGCTCCCTCTGGGTCTTCCCAGTGCACTAGGCCCGAGCACTTGTCTCATGCATCCAACTTGGGCTGACCTGTCTCCTCTTGACACCCCTGTGCATTGTCTGGGTACTTGAACAGCCCCCTTGGGCCCCCAGTCGTGGCCTGGCCTTGGCCTCAACCCTGTTTCATTCCTGGGCTCACCCACAGCCCTGACCCTCACCTCTGCTGTTCCCACAGGGACCGCCACTCGCATTCTTCTAGCTTCCACTCAGCTGATGTCCCAGAGGCCACTGGCGGCCTGAACCTGCTGCAGCCACGGCCTGTGGTCCTGCAGGGCATGCAGGTGCGCCGAGTGCCCCTGGAGATCCCGGAGGTGAGAAGCCAGCACTGGGGAAGGACCTGCAGCAGGGGGTGGGGCATGCAGAGCACCAAGCACTTGCGCAGGCCCCGGGAGGGCCAGGTCATTCCGAGTGAGGGCTCCAGGGGCCCTAAGGTGGCTGTCCTGATCTTTGATGGCCAGCACAGGGTGCACAGAACATGAATCACAAGTTGCTTATTTATTTACTCAGTAAATATGTCTGGAATAGCTTCTTTA